GGACGAGGACGAGTGGATTCGGATACTTTTAAAGGGGATCCAGATCTCCGGTCATTGCTGGCGTCTTGTCCACGAGGGTTGTCTGCTTGGGTTTCGACTTCTGGAATCTCTTGGCTTGGCCCTGCGTCCGACTGGTTTCCAGTCGGGGGCTCCTGATTAACTCCGGCTTCGGCTTCGGCCGACTGGATTCCAGTCGGGGGTTGATCACCGGATTCTACATTATCGGTTGCCGGTTGATTGTCACTCAGATGATCCTCAGCAGTTGGCTCGGTTTCTTTGGAAGAACTTGTGTCCACGTTAGTCGGGTCAGAGTCTTTCCCAGACGGATCTATATCAGATGGTTTCCTGCAAATTTGATTATCAGTATTATTGCCGCAATGGGTGCGCATCAATGCAAAAGAGATCGTTATATGAGTTGCACCTAGAAGACTTCCTGATCTTTGGCACAGGGCGACTGGATGTTTTCTACCTTGGAGTAGCCTGCTTTGGTAGTTTCTTGGTTGTCTCTCGGTCTCCAGGCCTCCTGGCGGTATCATCGGCTTCGTCGTCACTTAGAACCAGCTTCCTCTTTCGAGAATCTGACTGGCCGATTGGATCAGAAGCACTTGGTTGAGTTTCAGACCGAATTCTTGGTCCTCCGCTCCCTTGCCCAGTTTGGTGGCGGGGCGATCGGCGTTGAGCGATTGGGGGATCCGACTTCATCAAAGCAAATTCCTGGGTGTAATATCCTTCATTGTTAACTGATTCAACAAGAAAGCAAGATCATGTTTTGAGAAAGGTTGAAGTGTATGAATACGTACCGGTGGAGGAGGATTGAATGCATTGAACGGTACGACTGGCAACAAGTGTAAGTAGCTGACAACGATGGCGTTTGAGAAGATCTTATACATCCTTTCCTTCATGACCTTGAAGTCAAGAGAATCTGGATCTTCACGGTTTGGGTCATGCTTGCCGTCAAATTCGAAGGCTGTGCGAGATCTTTCTTTGATTGGAGCTAACCGACACTTGATAAAGTGCCGGGTGATCTGTTCTCCTTGAAGGCCCTGTTCTTTCAGCTTTATCATCCTCTCCATCAGTTCTACTGCTTGTGCAGCTTCGTCTCCCATTGGCAGTGAGTTCCAAGTATCCCGATAAACTGGAGGAAGACAGGAGTACTCGAGAAGAACAGGCTCGGGGTTTTGAACATAAAACCAATTTGCGTGCCAGCCTTTATTTGAGGTCTTGAAGGGCATGGAGAAGTATTTTTGGCTTAGTGTTCCCCTGAGTTGGAAACCAGCACCCCCAACGATGCATGGTTTACTCTTGTTTGGTTGGGGCTTGAGGAAGAAGATGCAGCGGAACAAGGCGAAATGAGGCCTAATGCCCAGAAAAGCTTCGCAGGCATGAATAAAATTGGCAATATGCACTATGGAGTTTGGATTCAGATGATGCAAGCTAATCCCGTAGAAGTTCAGAATTCCCCGGAAAAATCTTGAGGTTGGAAGAGAAAATCCACCGTAGAAGAAATGAGCAAATACCACGATTTCGTGTGTATCGGAGGTCGGGAATGCCTCACCAAATGCCGGTCGCCACCCGATGATCTCTTTTGCTGGAAGAACGCCGTGCGCCACCATCTCCTTCAGATTGTCTTCCGTCACATCGGAGGGCGCCCACTGACTCTCGAAGCTTTCTCTTTCTTCCGCCATGAATGTGAAATGGATGGTCTGATTTAGTTCGAGATACGGCTGGAAAGGGATGGGGAATTGGAGCGGTGGATGCAGGGAGAAATTTCGTGAAGTTTTTGAGTGTGGATTGGAGCGGATTGATGAACCCTAGTTTGCCCGGCGTAGTTTTGCACTGTAGCAGGAAATGGGGAAAATGGCGAGAGTCTCGGCGGGGAAGACGAAGAGACGTTTTTTACTTCGGTATTATTAGGGTATCGGGAGCACTAATGGGCCTGGGCCTGTACAGTACTTCAGCCCAATGCTATAATCAGCGTGGTCTGTTGTGATCTCTAGGGACTTAGGCACTTTTTGCTTTGGCAATTTGTGTTTACGATGGTGTGGCCTAATGCTGTTAAAATCCTTTTTAACGCGATTCAATAATTCTTTGGAATTATTATGATGCGCATAAAAAGGTGCCTGACAGAAAGGTGTTATACCATTTTTTTGTAAGCTTTATTAGGCTGCAAAAGCTGTTTGGGTTGATTTGAGATGACTGGTTTATTAATAGTCATTCTTTTAGCATGTTATATGCTTATTTTGGTTATGGTAAGGGTCACAGCCTAGGCTATTGGACTCATTAATTACCATGATTTTCTATCCTGTTTGGTGGGTCATTTTATGAGATTTTTACTCGGATTCCTATCAAACATGTCTATTTTTGGACCTTTGAGTGTTTATCACTCGGCCCTTCTTGTATTTTTTGTCCTTGATACATTCAAGTTGAGAAGCAGTCGGCTGGGTATCTTACTAAGTACCATGCGTGCTTCGCTATAAAACCACTCGGTTCTTGACTATATGTTTAGTTTTTCAACTAATCACATAGTCAGGGGCTACACCTAATTAGGTGCATCTACTCGATGCACCATGTTTTATTTTCGCCCTTCACAGTTTTTGATTTTTAGTACTCGGCAAGCTGGAGCAAGTTGAATTGAAGCACTCGGACTACTGTTTTTTGTTTCGAGAAGGCTATTTTGTCAACTACGAAGGTCTCGGGGGCTACTGTGGAGATTATGGATATCCCATATCGACATGACGGTTGTAATTTAGTCGGATATACGGTACCAAATATAGATGGAATATCTCTATGAATACTCGGGTTAGGTTCTAAACTTGTATGTCAAGGAAATACCCGGGATCTTAGTCGGTTACGATTGTATTTTATCTATAATCCCATATTCCGTTAGGATATGGACTGTATTTTGTAAAGCGGACTCCTTCCCTTATATAAGGAGGGTCCGTGTGCCTCTTGGAAGGCGATTCTTTTTCCCAGTCTATACAATTAATAACACACTCGGCGGAATCATCCCCGGACAGGAGTAGGGTATTACTTCTTGAATAAGAAGGCCTGAACCTGTATAAAATTTCTTGTCTCCAAACCCATCCACTTTCCTAGCTTGACAGCCACCCCCTTTTATTATTGCTGAAATCTTGCTTCGACACAGCTTTAGAAAATAGATTTACAAATACTAGATGGAAGGACCTAGCCTATGTTGTGCATGAAACTGGTTGCCCATTTGAATAATTAATTTCCCATATATGATTTTTCATTTGGAGGATTGATTGCGGTACATATGCAATGAAGTTTATGGTGCTCTGGAACCCAAGAGTTCGGGTTAATTTCTATTTGCTCCATACGAGATAAATTGCAAACATGTGCTAGCAAATGACATGTACCTTCCTAAGCAGAATAGTGAAACAGAAACAAAGGAACTTTGTTTACTTATGTGATCCAAATATTCGTAGTAATATGTCGGGCATTTCTGACCCAGTGCCGCCGCCTTGTCCGTCGACGTGTCTCAAGAACTACGCTGACCGGAGTGGCGGAGTTGCTGCAAGTTCATCGAGAGGGAAGTCTTGGAGAAGTCGAGGTATATGAAGAACGATTCCTTCACCTCCGCTGCGACGTCGTCGTCGTCGTCGTCAACGATGACACGGCGGCGCCCCAAAGCCTTGTCGTCGCTAATAAGCCTCCCCGATTGCCCGACCTGCACCATCACCTCGGCGAACTCCTAAATCCTAATTCGTGCAGGGAAGGACGCGGATGTGGCGTTCGAGGTCGGCGGCGGCGGCGGGGTGAGATTCGCCGCGCACCGGTGCGTGCTCGCGGCGCGGTCCAAGGTTTTCAAGGCGGAGCTCTTCGGCGCGATGAAAGAGGGCGACGCCGCATGCGTCGTCCGCATCGACGACATGGAGCCGCAGGTGTTCAGGACGCTGCTCTTCTTCGTGTACACCGACTCGTTGCCGGAGATGAGAAAGGAGGAGGAAGAAGCCATATGCCAGCGTCTGCTTGTCGCAGCCGAAGTGTACGGCATGGAGAGGCTCAAGCTGATATGCGAGAGCAAGTTGTGCAAGTACATTGACGTGGGCACAGTGGCGTCCATCATGGCGTTGGTTGACCAGTACCATTGCCATGGCCCATGGCCTCATAAAGGCTTGCTTAGATTTTGTCAGCTTTCCAGACAATCTAATGGCGGTGTTAGCCACTGATGGTTTCTACCACCTGAGTAGGAGCTGCCCGTTCATCACGGAGGAGTTGATTGGCATGCTCTGAAAGTTACTTCTCCCTCCGTTTCAGGTTATAAAACATTTTAACTTTGATCAAAGTCAAACTATTTTAAGTTTGATTAAGTTTATAGATAAATATAGTAATATTTACAGTACTAAATTAGTTTCATCCAATCAATAGTTGAATACATTAAGTAGTTTGATTCTGACCAAAGTCAAAATATCTTATAACCTGAGACAGAGATAGCAGCTCGTTGTACAGTGTTATAGCCGTGTTATATATGTGGGCTCCGAATTGGACCTATCATTGTGCATATTGCGTGCTTGATTAATTAGTTTCTACCAACAATTTCTCTATGTTTGAGATATGGATGTTGCTTACATATTTTTTAACATATTCAGAGATGAATTAGAGGGATAAAATCGTAGCTAGTATTATATTTTGTTATATTCATAGGCGCATGAAACCGCCTGTATTTTATCACCTTTTTAGAGTCATTCTTTGACTGCTATGTGTAGTTGTACAGATGCAGGGAAAACCATCGAAAACAGAGGGAGAATTTGCTGGTGTGGGTTTCTTGATCCGGCTCATTAGCCTCCACGGCCCATTTGGTCGTTCAGAGCCAAACTTCCCTTCGTCCTTGTGTACGCGTGATCCAACGATATGCACAAACAGACCCAGATTCGGACAAGATCAGAGGGCCTAATTAACTATCTGATCCGATCAGCATACGATGACGGAGTAGTAAACTGAAGGCACCTGCATTTCCAACACACCAAGGTTTGCCGGCCATGGCGTCGCGATCCGCCTCCATCGTCCAAGCCAACGTCACGAGCGGGTACAACCTCCTCACGATCGACGGCTACATGGCCACCACGCCGATACCCACCGGAGTGTACATGACGTCGAGCGCGTTCGCCATCGGAGGCCATCAATGGCGCATCAGTTACTACCCCAACGGCAAGAACTCCGGCTGCGCCGACTACATCTCCTTCGACCTCATCCTCGACGAGAATGTCGCCGCGCCGGTGTACGCGCAGCACCGGTTCCGGTTCGCCGGCGACGCGGAGAAGGAGGCGGAGCAAGCGCCAGCGCCGCCGCCGCCGCCGTCGTCGTCTTTGACGAGCTTCACGAGCGGGAGCGCGGCGAGGGGCCGAGCCGGTTCGTCAAGAGGAGAATCTTGGAGAGGTCGAGGAGGAGGCATCTGAAGAACGATTCCTTCATCGTCCGATGCGACGTCGTCGTCACCGAGTTCCGCCCGGCGGAAGTGGCGCCCGGCAGCGTCGATGTCGACGGGCCGCCGTCCGACCTGCACCGTCACCTCGGCGACCTCCTCCGCGGAGAAACTGGCGCCGACGTGGTGTTCGAGGTCGGCGGCGAGAGGTTCGCCGCGCACCGGTGCGTGCTCGACGCCCGGTCGTCCGTCTTCGACCTAGAGCTCTTCGGCGCAACGACTGCGAAGGAGGTCGTCGTCGGCCAAAGCACCGGCATCGTCCGCGTCGACGGCATGGAGGCGCGGGTGTTCAAGGCGTTGCTCTTCTTCGCGTACACCGACTCGTTGCCGGAGATGATGACGACGACGAAGAAGAAGATGGAGGAACAAGCAGCCGGCGACGGCGACGACAGGTACGACATTGATGCGTTCACAGTGGGGAAGGTCATCGCGCTCGCGGAGCAGCATGATTGCCGTGTTCTAAGGAAACTTGCCTCGATTTCTTCATGCGTCGTCCTGGATTTTAGAAGGATGTACTGTTGGGCACCGGCGACGGCGGCTCCATCAGCTGCTCCTTTTCTTTTAGACAAGAGTTGTTTGAAGGCCTCATCAAAAAGTGGTAGCTGAGCAGTTCTGCACAAATGATTTGAAGCAATGCTGAATAGGATCAAGGATCGAAGCCGTTAGATGATCTTCTTAAAGGAAATAAGGGTGTGTTAACTTCACATCAAAATTGAAAGTTTGATTGAAATTGAAACGATGTGACGGAAAAATTGGAAGTTTGTGTGTAGAAAAGTTTTGATGTGATAGAAAAGTTAAAAGTTTAAAGAAAAAGTTGGAAACTAAATCATGCCTAAGCATGAAAATACACTGTTCATGTACAGTGGTGAAGCCAGATTTTAAATATGAGGGGGTCAACTCGACAAGTGATCGTGATCACAAAGTAAATTTCAAAGTAAAAAATATGGACGAGACTACAAAGCTTGTGCTTTCATAATTAATACGATGTTTAACCGAGTGCACTTTCCGAAATTAGTTATGTCTAATTAGCATTCATGTATTTCCGAGTATGCAAGTATGCAACAACAAAGAAAAAATAGTCATAATAGCTAAGCCTCAAATAAACTTTTGTTTCAAATTATATACTGGATCCACACTCTGATAGTATCATTGTATTCTTTAATTAAATCTTTATAACAAGATCTTACATAATTATATTTTGATAAAAATAAATATATATGTTGTAAATTACTTTTTTATATACGCAAATTACTTTTGTTGTAAATTATTTCTAGATTTGATTAATTTACTTCTCAGATATTTATGATAGTAAATTCAATAAGACCTAAAAGTGACTTATACAAATCATAACTACTTCTAAATTTTATTCTTATTTTTAAATCATCTAGCAATATAGGTATTCCCAGGATGTTTAATTCTATTTTTTTTTCAAAGAGCTACTTTTAATACATGAAAAGTTACTTATATTTTTCTTGAGAGTTACTTCCTCTACCAGTGTAGCCACTTCTTACATGAGTTACTTCTATTTTTTAAAGTTACTTTTAATACCATGTAAAGTTATTTCTATTTTTTTAGAGTTATTTTCCTCTAGTAATGTACTTGTAATACTGTAATTATTTTTTAAAGTTATTTTTCCGTTACTGTATAGTTACTTCTAATCGTCAAAGGTTACTTCTATTCTCTACTTCCAAAGCCCAAATAAAGTGGTAATAAAATGAATAAGCCTAATGTCAATCGCTAACTCGTGTCGAATTGCCTTCTGTGAGTTCTGTCTCAAGTCTCAACTAACTACTGCTCTGTTCTTTCGGCTAGGTGGAATGGTAGTTGGAGCACGAGCCAGCTACCGAACCAGGACACATCAGCTAAGACACCGATTCCACAAAATCCCCCGCGGCCGTGATCCGTTCAGGTATTCACAGCTTCTCTCACGCGTCGTCTTGCTGTCCAGCGCCGGCGACGGGTACAGACTTTACAGTCATGGCGGCGGCAGTGCTCTGCTTTGTCACCCTCCTCGCCTTCTGTTTCTTGGGTCAGTTACTCCGAATCTCTCTGATCGACAACACATAATATGGCTGTGTTATTCCTCCCATTTTTCTAACCCACCTCTCTCGTTTTCCGCACATACGATTTTCAAATTGATAAATGGTGTGATTTATAAAAAACTTTCTATATAAAAGTTGTTTTAAAAAATCATATTAATCTATTTTTTAAAAAAATATTATTTAATACTTAATTAATCATGCAATAATACGAGCTTCACTTTGCGTGCTGGGAAACCTGAACACGGCCTATGTCTCAGTGCTATAACTCGCTTTGATCCTTTACATTGATGGAACAGCGCCGGCGGCGTTGATGTTGGGGTATTACCACGGCTCGCCGGAGCTAGTCGTCATCGGCTCAGGTTGCTCGAGGCTTGTGGAGACGAACTCGTTCTTTGCGCAGGACATCAAGGTGACCATCCTCCCGTAGCTCTGCACGAGCTCAGTCAGGACGAGTGTTTTAATGTGTGCACTCGCTCTTGCAGGCAAGGACGGAGGGAGGGTCGCCGGAGAATGGGTTGGTGCTCTACGGGATGCCGGTCGCTCCGCCTCTCGGCGTCCCAGCCGCTTGGTCGGAGGCTCGCCGCGCCGTCGTACCAGCCAATTCTCACATGGTAATGCTGCGTTATCATCTGTGTGATTCTGTTTGAAACTCTGAACTCATGATCATGTCAGTTATTTTCAGAATTGAAGATTAGTTGCTACTTACTATACTCCATGTTGTGTGCTGCAGGAATGGGTGTATTTCCTTAACAGAGGATCGGAGATAGAAGTAGCTTACAGCGTCAGGAGTGAAACTGAATCGTCTCGTCCAATCTGCATGATCATTGCGCGAGGTAAGAAAGGTTCAGATATATGAACAAGTGTGTTTAAGTGTGATTTTTTCATATCAGTAACAGAGTTTCACTGACACCATTAAAATTCTTGCGTGTTGGTGCTTCACTGCTTCATAGGCAAAGAAAGCTTCTTGCAATGGGCTGAGAATCCATCAGCAAATGAGACCACATTATCTTGGCACTTGGTGCACGGTAAGCATGATCTCATTGACTAAGAATCAGTTGCAGACTTGCAGTACCCCGGGAGAATCCGTATACTAATGCTATCAGGATGTGTAATCACAGGAAATGGAACAATCAAGCAGACTATCAATCTCTCTTCAGAGTACTTCATTGCCTTGGGAAACTTTAACAATCAGGATGTAACGGTAAATTACCCCGTGTCAAGAGCGACAGAGCTTCCAAAATGTTTTTGTGGCATCTTCAGCCTTGTTACAGAGGTTTCATCTGGCAGGTGCTACTGGAATTCAGAATCAGGACCTTGTTCTACAACACCAGCGCAGCAGATTATACATGCTCACCGGCCAGCTCTCTTTGCACTTACAAACTGCCGTTTTTAGGACAAAACGTTGTGGTTCTGTCATCCGGCCCCAAAGAGGTGACAAAAAGCGTCTTCTCTGTCATCTTCAGATTCCTCTCGTATACTGTACAATGCTCACTTTAGCCGGATGCAGTACTGACTAGTCTAGTGCACAATTTCATTCAGGGACTGAATTCTGATGGTCATTATGTGAAGCTGTCATATGGACCTCGCTGGATAGTGTACATCATCGGATTAGGTACCAACTCAATAATCACCTACAAGAAGAACCTCTCAAATTAATGGTAGGATTGACTGCACACTAAATTATTAATCCCTCTGAATTGCAGTTCTGTTGGCTGTTGCACTGCTGATCATGTACGATATACTGAACATGCTGTTCGGTCCCGGGCCTGGAGGAGGAGACGCGAGAGCCTCGCTGCTGTCGTCGTCGTCGGCGGCGGCGGCGAGCAAAGAGGAAGACGACGCGAGCCTGGGGTCGTCGTACGACTCCGTCTCGCACGACGGCGACGGGGAAGACGACGACGACGACGTAGAGGAAAGAGGCGGCGGCGGCGGCGGCGGCGAGGGGCGGCACCTATGCGTGGTGTGCTGCGACGCGCGGAGGGACTGCTTCTTCCTCCCCTGCGGGCACTCCGCCACCTGCCACGCGTGCGGCACGAGGTACTAAACTGTTTTAAGGGTGTGTTTAGTTCACGCTAAAATTAAAAGTTTGATTAAAATTGAAACGATGAAAAAGTTAAAAGTTCATGTGTATGGAAAAAATTAGAAGTTTGAAACTAAACTCGGCCTAAGTGAGATTATCGTTATTAACGGTTATCGTGGTTACCATGAACCGTGGTTATCGTCCGTGATAATTACGATAACCTCAGGGTTTGTAAACCTTATCACCATAAAATTGCAAACGCTGTGGTTGCAGGGTGGCAGAGGAGGACGGGAGCTGCCCGTTGTGCCGGAGGAAACTGAAGAAAGTGAGGAGGATCTTCTCCGTCTGAGCTGTCCGCGAGCTCAAGCATGGGGTTTCTCCGAACCAGTGGAGTGGAGACGAGAGAAAAAAAAAGGAATGGACGCCCACCGTGGGGCTCGAACCCACGACCACAAGGTTAAGAGCCTTGCGCTCTACCGACTGAGCTAGACGGGCTTGGTGTTCGAGAAATGCACAAAAGGCATACATTGTACTATGTCATATGACGCATTGCAGATGATAAGATTATTATTATAGACCTATTTATGAGGAGAAAATGTTTGATACTCGAGAACGGGAGTTTTATGGTATAACATCACATAAGAGTGTTTTAATTTTTTTTCCTTTTTCTCCATGCCAACTCCACTAGCATTAGTATCAAATGCACCTAGTTAACTTTATGCAAAATTTCCATTTTACCCCTTCAAATATATCAAGCACTTCCTACTCTGAGACTCTGAGATATGGTTCTATAGGTAAAATGTATTTTTTGTATGACGTGTTAACGGAATGTATCTAATGGGAGACTTAATGAAGATGGCAGAAACAGAAGAAAAAACACTTTGGTAATGGTATTTCGTAGAGTTAATGTTCGTTGATAGCAGTTCGTAGAGTCAATCACTTATCAACGGTAAAACGTAGTATTTCTTGTTTAAAAAGGAAAATTTAAAAAACCATCCCAAATGTCACCCTCAATTCGATACTCCCGATAAGATGATTTATCACAAATCTCCCTCCTCCTAATTCACCTATGCCCACCCGTTCTCATAGCCGCAAACCCCACATGGGCTCACCTGAATACTACTCCCTCCATTCTAAAATATAAGCATTTTTATAGTAGGACACAGTTATTAATAAAGTGGGTAGAAATGAATGATGGAGGGTTGTGATTAGTTGAGTAGTGGAAGTAGATGGGAAAAGTGAATGGTAGAGAGTTGTGATTGGTTGGGAAGAGAATGTTGGTGGAGAAGTTGTTATATTTTGGGACAAATCTTGAGAGCTAAAAGTTATTATATTTTGGGATGGAGGGAGTACTAGCCAAGGAGCCGTGGTCACCAGTAATATTGGGTAGGCTCGATGGCACGATTGCGGCATCTGGCATCCAGCATGTTGTTGGGCGATGGTAATCACGAGTCTCAGCTCTTAGAGATGGGGGTCGCCGGAAGATGAGTCCATGTATATCAAAAGATGTGCTAAGTCATATAACACATAAGGAAAGAGAAAAGGAAAGAACTTGCAACAAACAAGCGACGGATTGCCTTCCTTCTTCCTTGAAGGTTGGACTTACTCGAATTACTACATTTCCTGATTCCGCTAACCCTGTTTGTTTGCATATCAGGTTCGGCTTGAGCGTAGACATCGGATCGTATTGATGGATATCGCATATGTGCAAGCAGTGACAATTGGGAAAGGATATTGCTACAAATGGTTTTACAGGGATCTCGAACTCGGATTGAGATCCTCTAACTTACTTCCCTCTAACTTGTGTCACTGACATATGGACCCTCTACTTAGTGGGTCCACACGTAAGCGACTCAAAGTCAGAGGGAAATAAGTCAGATAATCCTCTTCCCTCGAACTCAGTGTGATATTTGAGGTGGTTTTTGTAAGTTCCCCTTTAAAAAGATCAAACATGATTTGCCCTTTTCTTGTTTATAAGTTACGGGGTCATTATGCATGCAGAATGGCAGGATTTGTTCAATCTCTCAAAATAAAATTTTAAACACAAAATTACATTGCAACATAAACATAATCTACTTGAAGATATATGTAAAATGTGTTTATATGAGATAGCTTAAGGATACAGATATATTTGTAGTAGATCATTAATTAACCAAGGGCGGGGATAGCTCAGTTGGGAGAGCGTCAGACTGAAGATCTGAAGGTCGCGTGTTCGATCCACGCTCACCGCATTTTCCTTTTTTTTTTGTTTTACCAAGGCTTCACTTTTTCTTTTCTTTTTTTTTTTTACCAAGGCTTAGTTCTTCAGTTTTTCTGCTTAGCTCTTTTGCATTTTTCTTTTTTTTTTACCAAGGCTTCACTTTTTCTTTTTCTTTTTCTTTTTTTTTTTACCAAGGCTTCAGTTCTTCAGTTTTTCTGCTTAGCTCTTTTGCATAAGTGTTTTTGTGTGTTTTCTTTTTTTTACCAATGGTTCAGTTCTTCAGTATTTCTGCTTAGCTCTTTTGCATAAGTTTTTTTTTTTACCAAGGCTTCAGTTCTTCAGTTTTTCTGCTTAGCTCTTTTGCACAAGTGTTCAGTAGTCACTGGTCTTCAAGGGATCTTCAGTGCTCCAGCGATATACATTTGGACTTTGCCCGGCGACAACTCGTTATTTCCGTGCTACTCTTTATAAGTTCGATATCGCCACCGTTCTCATCTGAACAAGTTACAGTAATTACAGAAACAGCGGCAGTGTGTTCGAAAAAAAAGAAACAGCGGCAGTGATTTTGTTAAAACAGTTGCGATTATAATTTTTTCAGACCTGATTTGCTATCAGAATCGACAAACTCCAAAACTTAGGTCCAAAGGGCGACCAAAGCGAAGCTTTACACCATTGATTCCGAGGGTGATGCAAGCATCCATTGATCGAGAGAGAGAGAACCAAACTGTCTCTCTTCCATTACACCACGCAGACTTCCATGCCCAGTAACATTTGGCTTGCCCAAAGAATCGAGCATGCTCGAAGTACGTCAGAAGCTCAGAGCAAAATAAAAATAAAAAATACCAGTGTTTCTTCCAAAATTGGAAACGTTTGATTCCAGAGATGCAGTAACCATGACAAAAATTGAAGTACAGGGGAAACATGGAGAACAGAAAAGGGAATCCTTTCCTGGATATTTGATCTGTATGAGCAAAGGATGAGTCATCAGCTGCTCGTCCTTCGTCAGCAGAATGCTCTCACATCTGTAGAGTTACAACTTACAAGTACATTGTCTCCTACAGCTACTTCGCCTATTTTCACATTCTGGACATACAAAATACAACTGAGCAACCGGAGCGTGCTCTACTTCTGCCACCTTTTAGATGCCCTCAGTGAAGAGCCTCCTATCAATTGGCTCGATTGAACTCTCGTTTGATCTGATAATCAATATATTTCTCATTAATAACCAAGGATAATTAATTACATCATGTGCAGGTATGAAACTATTTGGACAGTGCACTAAAAATTTGAAAAATATCTTTAAAAAAAACTAAAAGTTTTACAATAATAGCAACCACATGTGTATGAAATTATTTGCACGGAGCAACATGACCTTTCTATTCCCAAAAAATTACCATTTGTTTTTGAAAACCAAGACAAAGTTGGCAAGTGTCTTCTGATATTGGCATGATAATTTGAACTCGTTGAGCACATATACTAAAACTGTGTAGGCAGTACAGTAATAGTTACCAATCTGTTGAAGTAAATTAGTGGCTTATAGTACATACTTGGAGTCTTCGGAGCAGTATCCTTTGGTTTTGGTCTGGATGTTGCTGGTTGTCCATTCTTTGTGAGACTGAATCGAGCTATTCGTGATGAAATTCTCCTACTGCAATCATTAGGAGGTACCAAATTAATGCTTCTTCATCACAACATGAAAAGATAATGTTGCATAAAGAATAATAAGATTATATTACAACAAATTGAGTAAATGTAATGAGAGAACAATTAATAGCTGCAAGTTAGTTTGGTGTAAGTGATATAGGGAGATGAGAGTACATGGAGGTATCTGCGGTTCTATCTGAGCAGGAATTTGGGAAAACGCTGGCACCGGCAGCACAGCCAACAGAATAGTCGGTTCCTCCAGAGAAACCATCTTCTGATGCATTGTCCTCAAAATCTGCTTCATCCAAGCATGTTGGTGTAATGTCAGTGTATGAAGTAGGTCCACCATCTCTGTTCACCTCAGCATAACTCTGAGGATCTGATAGTTGGCTCTGTTGGTTTGTTGTGATTGACAATACTGATCTTAGGTCAGAGTTAGAATTTTTTGGCATGCTAGCACCATTTATATCGACTGCAAAACTTGGCGATTTGACTTTGTCTTTCATGAGTTGGAGCTGCTCAATTTCCGTATCTTTTCGTACAATAGTGTCTTTCAAAGATGCAACCTGGACAAAATATGTGAAGTGACTTTTCAAGTTGGGAGGACAAAATATTTATAGTAAAAAGAAGGAATTGTCATTATAACAGAAACATGTCTCATTGGCAAGCACAAACCATAACATGAGTTCAACTAGAAATTTACACCACTAGCAGCATATAGACTTGAATAATTACATAGAACATCACAACAAGTCACCATTTTGATTTGTTTATATTTTTTTCATACTAGACAAAAAAAAAGGTTGTTTGCAGCAGGTTTTCTGTATCTCAAGCCTAATATTGATGATAACTTGTATTACTATTGGGAGAACATTTGTTCAGGATCAAGCCTAATATTGATGATAACTTGTATTACTATTGGGAGAACATTCGTTCAGGAATAGCTTGGAAATTGCTGTTGTTTTACTGCTGATTCTTTAGAATGTTTGAATAAATTTGTGGAAAATATGAAGTTGAGAACAATGGCCATGCTTTTGAGTAAAACATCAGCAACATTCTAAAATAGAGCTCTAAGTTCAATTAGAAATTACTTCAGTATTTGCAAGAAAATTTGTTGCATGAACATCAAATTTACACATAAGGATTCCCCTTCTTCCTAGAACTAAATAGTTCAGCAATTATGTAAAACAAAAGCAAAGAAATTTCAGTTAATGATGAGTCAGACAGAACATAAAAAGCAAGAACCTGTTCCAGCAGCTCTTTTATATCCTTTCCCTCTTTATTACTTCTTGCAGCACCTAACTCAACTCCAGAAACCCTTTCAGCAAACTTTAGAGTGCTTATAGTCTCTGAATATGACTCAACATCAGGATTTATTTGAACAAACATTAGTGTCTTTGCTTGTCCACCTGCAAGAGATTATTTTATAAGATTATAGTTACAAAAACCATAAATCTAACTCCACATGCATGATTTTTCAACTAAATAATTGATTACCTAAAGAGCTTTGAAGAACTTGTGTTAGCTTGCTGTTCCTGTATGGCACATGAGCATTCTTTTGCGCCAAAGCAAAAATCACATCACCCAAAGCAGACAGTGATTTATTAATGTGTTGAGCCTCTTTCAATCTATCTCCAGTTGCTTCAGACCGCTCAACCCTTTCACTCCCTGCAAGATCAATAAGATGTAGGCATCCTCTAGAAGTGGATCCATTCTTCACATCCAACCCTCGAACATGTACAGTCAGAATACTGCATAGAATAATGTGTTTCAAAATAAAATCATATTGAGAGCAAAAAAGATATAGTTTAACTTCAGTTATCAGTCACTCAACCTATGAGACCGACTGCTCCTTTCATTAAGAGCTGTTGAACCAACAGCTCTATTTGCCTGTCCAATTTCCATCAAGTCTAAAACATCTGATGTTGATTTAACTGGGTGTAAGCTCGCATCTGGGACGACAAGTCCATTAGGTTGAGAGGTGCTCCATATGCCAAGTGTTTTTTTATGTTAAAGAGAACACAACCATTCTCTTACAAACTAAAAACATAGGTACCAGAAATATAATTAGAAATGACAATTTAAGTATGAAAAAGGATATCGTTTCTGTGCAATATCATTTGACAGAAGATCCCGCACTTGTTCATTGTATATCTCAACCATCTGAACTCCCACCTCATAAGAGAAAGCATTTCTCCTACTTAGTGAGATATCAAATAAATCATTTAAAGCCCTGTAATTGACACCCCAATCTTGTTTTGATGTGCTGGGTCCACTCTAAGAACAAAATTATTGGAATAGAACATAAGTGATCAAAAGTTAGTAGCAGTGCATCATGCTGAACCAGTACAATACCAATAAAAAAGATCAATATAAGTTAACAACAATGCTGAGCCAGTAAAATATCGGTAAAAGTTAGTACCATTGTGTAAGTTTTTCCTGAACCAGTTTGACCATAAGCAAAAATACAAACATTGAATCCATCAAGAACTGATCGAATCAGCGGTTGAATGTCCGAGAAAACCTCAGCTGTAAATTGAAAGATAAGTATTAGAATTTATTTGCACACAGATAAGCTTATACCAGATTTCCATTGTAAAAAAATATACCTTGAGAAGAAAATGGACTAAAAACCTTGTTAAACTTGAACATCCGATGTCCATCCTTTCCTTGTTTAAATGGATTTGAGATCAAAAGCTCACCATTTTCACCAATGTAATCAACAGTGGTTGATTTTTTATCTTGACCAGGAAGAAATGGTCTTACACGACAATACACCCTTATATTACCTAAAAGAGGCAGATATTGAAATGGACATCAATAGGTGCATTCTGAAGCTATAAAAAATTTGAGCAGTAAAAAACCTTTTAGTTCTTGCACTTCATTGAACAACTTTTGATTTTCAGCAAGAACTTTGTGGTAGTTTTCAGCAGCATCAACCAAACACTTTAAACCAGAGCCTGCAAAAGTTTAAGCAACACAATGTTAAAATATACAAGTAAATGTTTACTTTATAGATTATACAACACATACCAAAATTGGACATCTCATCTCTCAACTCCATTTCAAGGGCATGCATCTCATTTTTTATAGACCATGATGATATCCTTAAACCCTGTCATTTTCAAGCAATAACCCATAAATAAGATGAAAAACAAAAGGAAGTAAGAGCAAGTTAAAGATAAACAAACCTTGACATATAGTTGTTGACTATTCATGTATTTCTGAAAAATGCCCTCCTTCTTATTCCACAACTGTGATTTTAACAGGGAAGCAGCCTCAACTTCTTCAATTTTCTTGTTTGATTGCACTAAAAGAGACTCAACCTCCTTAATTTTGGTAGTTAAATGTTCTTCCATTTGCTTTGCGGTCAGTTCGATTTTCTGAAGTTGTTGCTCATGCATGCTAGTCATGACTTCCATCTCTTTCTTAAGACTAGCTATTGTGTTTTCAGAAATTTCTTTTTCTTTCATTAGCCGAGCAACATCTTGCTCACCAAGTTTCCTTTTCTCTTCTATTTTTGACTTCTCTTCCTGAATGCAGAAAAAAATATATAATATGTTATATAGTTGATATAACAGTTGCCATAATTTCTACCGGTCTAGGCGGTAACAAAATTAACATCAAATATCATCCTTATAGCAATAATATATGATCAAACATTATATAGTTAATATTTCATTTGTTTATATTATTACAATAATATAAAGATAGCAAATGTACTATAAAGATAGCAAATGTAGGAAATCAAATCTTTTCAGTGTAGGTCTAACCTTAATTATCTGAAGCCGGTTTATAGCCATCTGAAGAAAGGAAGTCCACAATGTCATCAGTTAGGGGGGAGAACTTCTAAATTATGTAATTTATTATAACAATGAAAATACTGAATATTTACCTGGTTTTCTTCATTTGTCCCATTTACTAATATTTCAAGTGCTTTGATTTTTGAATGGTATTTATCTTCCCTTGTCTTAATGATCACATTTTGCTGCAACAAGAGACATCTGATTCATGAGTTGCATTTATTAGCTAAAGGATATATAGGCTTCAGGGAAAAAAGACTCTCTTACACTTCTTATGTGCTCTGCTTGAATACAAAGACGACGCTCAATTTCTTGAACTACTTTCCTCAGTAGGTACACTACACGCTGAGGTGAGGTAGATAAATTTATTAGATTTAAAAGATACCAATGAAAAAGAGAGCATGCAATTCAGAAACACAGACATACATGTGGTATTTCTCCCTTTTTCCTTTCAATGCTTTCGTCCAAAATGCCATTAACGACGCTAAGAAGGGATTGGGTTGGTGCATTCTGTGAGAAGGTAATTACTGTTAGGAAAGGAATAGCAAACAACAAGATAGAACAATTCAACAAGCATAAGCAATGGAAAGTTACATCTAAACTGTTAGAATGCATCATTTCTGAAATCTTGGCAGCCGGAAGATCAGCATAGGATCCACGTTTTAATTGGAAAATCTCACGAAGCTTTCGTCCTGCAGCATATATGACGAGCTATTATAAACTAAAAGGTAGGGAACAGTAGTGACCCAGATATAGATTATACACAATAGCTTGAGTTACAACTTGCAGCAAGCATACACGTTAACAAGTTTGTAGTTTGGAGCTTGGAAGCCATGTTGAATTTAAGAAACGTTAAAGTAACCACCCCACCATGATCAAATCTAGCTTCATCAGAAAGTTTGTATGTCCACTAAGATTCTATGTTGAACATAGTTGTCCAATCTACAGCTTCAACCAATAAATCGTTGACCCCCCACAACATGGCCAAGTGCCCAATCACAAATAGCCCATGTCATTTTCCCTTTGAGAATTTGACTATATAGTACAGAATTCTAGAGCCAAAGCGTAAACATGTAGGGACTTCTTTTCAACTAATATTTTTAAACTATGCACCAAAATAGTCAACAATGTGCATACCATTAAAGATGGGAGTTTTCTGCTGAGACTTAGGGTCTGGAAGGCCATTCCTCTTGTCCTCTCCAGGGGATGTCTTCCCTTGTGCCACACCAGGGACAAGAGGTTCACCAGTTTCTGGAACTCGCCATTTTTTCCTCAAAGGAGCCTTGGAAGTACCATCACGTAATCCAGAACTCACACTTTCCCTCAGAACCAAGAGGCAGTCCACTACCCCAGACATTGAACCCTGCCATGGTCAAGTTATGAGTTAACATAAGCAATCAGGAACTTTGGAAATGGTAAACATTTTTTTTAATGAAAAACTGTAACATCTTACATCCACAAATAGTGAAATTGGGGGGATTTGCTCCAATGCTTGCATGTTTCCGTCAATTGCGAGTATTTAAAAGCATGTCATTTTAACTATGCGGTGTCAATCCTTTTTGCAGATTTGCTTCCTAGATGACAGCATCCGGCATAGAATAAATCTAGAACTAATAATCTAACCTCCTTTTCTAGCAGTCAACAATCTATCACAGAATTTGAGTTATTACTATAGTGCAATTATGGTTAGGCGATATTAAGAGGTTATTCATTTATTCCTCACAGATTATAATGGGAAAAAAAACTCTAGAAATATAGTTCTACTTATATGTGTATGCATGACTAAAACTTGTCAGCAACGCAATACCATGAGCAACAAGGCCAAGCACCATTATATTGACTAGCACAATAAGGCTAGCACGCAAACATTTAAGAAAACTAATCTCAACCATTTGCATTTCAGAACTCATTTCTGCAAACCAACTACATAGTATGATAAGACCAACCTCACCTCCTCAAGATCTTTAACACTGAAGCCTGGCAACCCCATATCAGCAACCACTGCGAGGAACTTCTTCACATGGCCTGCATGTTGATCTGACGATGCATAAGCACCCCACGACTCCTAAACAAACAAAAACTCACATCCAGAGAGCACCAATATCAACATCCACAGTTCAACAAAAAAGCCAAAATTCTTCAAGCCCAAAAGGACACACCTCGAGAACACCAGGAATGAGTGCGTTCACGATATGGCACAAGACCGTGCCATCACTGAGCAGCTCCCGCAACTCGTCATCCGATGAGTCCAGTGGCAAACAGTACTCCGGGAGTAACGCATTGAGCCATTCAATCACTTCCGCACGCCGATCCGCTACAATGTTTTTTGCACCATCATGTAAAGCAAGTATGAGAAATTAAAAATCACAACTCAGATCGGCAGCTCGGAACTGATATCTCAGATCAAAAATGATAATAATAAAACTTTTGAACCCTCCGGCACAAAAACGGGTTAACACACGGTTCTTCTTCGGCAAACATTTTACTATCGAAACAGCAAAAAATTCAAAATCCAGCGGTCGCCAGCTAACTTCAAACACTAAAACATAGTAACTGAACAATAGCTGGGCTGGCGATAGCTAGAAGCCTAGAACCAGAGGAAGAATATGCACGAATCACTGAGGTCGCTGAGCTGAATTCCAACTCGAAAACCACTAAATCAGAGCGCAGAAAAAGCGGGTTCGCCCATCGCCGACCACCACTCCTCCTCGCCACAAATTTACCCCCAAAATCACAAAAACTCGCAGCAACCCAAACCTCGAGCAGCTAGGGCTAGAATTCAAACTCCCGAGAGCATCCGGATCAGCGGGGCGCCTCACCTGCCTGGAGCCCCTCGAAATCTCCGTCCACGCTCCCCATTCCTCGCCGCCCGGGCCGGCGCACGGCGGCCTCGGCTCAGATCGAGGCCGCCGCCGGCGAGATTGGGCGGATTCGAGCTCGGGCGGCGCCGCCTCGGGGCAATGCGGGGGCTGGTTTTGTTGCTCCGCCACGCGTCTCGTCGCCGTCGTGCGCGGTGCGCCGCCCCCCGGCCGTGCTTTGTGTTGTCCTCTGTGTTTCGCTTTTGGTTTTGGTTTGGTTTGGTTTGTCCTCTCGCGCAGGTCGCGGGTTTGTTGTTGTTCGCGTGAGTTTTTTTTTTTAATTTCGTTTTCAAATTTGAAACTTCGCTTGCGTGAGTTTTGCTCTGGTCGCCGTTACCGGCAATTCGAATTTGTTTTAAGAATAGTTTCGTTTTTTTTCCAATTAACGTACACAAACTACTACACATGTAATATCACACTAATACACTCATGAATAAATCCCCTAACACAGTAACACACGTTTAAAGATCTAATAATATGAACAACAAGATCTTAAAAAAAAGTAACACACGTTTAAAAAGAGAAGCCAACGATAAAGGTATGTTTAGTTCACACTAAAATTAAAAGTTTATTGAAATTGGAATGGTGTGATAGAAAAGTTGAAAGTTTGTGTGTAGGAAAGTTTTATGTGATAAAAAAGTTGTAAGTTTGAAGAAAAAGTTTGAAACTAAACAAGACCAAATTTCTAATATTGCTAACTTGTATGCGCACCAAGATTTAAATTTTGGTGGGTAAAAACCCCAACCAAATTACTTCGATTTGCTTTCGATGCTCCCCATATCACCGGTGGTGCTTTCCAGTTAGTTTGGATTTTGATAATAGAAAATTTTAACCTCATTGAGGCTTGACTTTGAAGCATTGAAAAGCGTGGAACTATTCATAGACATATTTTTGTTCTTTGTTCTTTGTTCCTACTATAGTCTAGCATAATTTGAACAACGCAAGAAGTACTCCAGTAAACAATTTCTTTGTTTTGGAATCCTCAAGGAGCCAATTGGGTAGAACATCTTTATCGGAACCAATAGTGGTACGCGTTTGAATCCCTGGGACCTGATTAAGCTCCAATATTCATACGACGTGCGCGGCAGAGTGCAGAGTCCAAACTCAAACGCCGAATCCTGTATCAATTACAAGGATACCCTTTCCCATCGTGCAGGCGACCTGAGTTTTTTTTTCTTTTTCTTTTACACATGAGCCCTACCTTAAGCCGGCACGCCGGAGAGTTGACGTCGTCAAACAGGTTTTAATCGCACTCCCGCCAAAGTGGCCAAACTGGCTACCTCCGATTGATTCGGTCCGTGAAGCCGCAAGCCGGTATCGTGAAAGGATTTTTTTTAAATTACTTTTTGTACTTTTTAATTTTTTTATTTTAAAAAATAAACACTTCTGAAACTTATTTACAAAATCTAGACATTTTGTCTATATTAGAACAGTGTGACCAAATAACACTGTCACACCGTTCAAATCTTGAAAATAAGTCTTGGAAATATTTAGTTTTAAAATTAAAAAATTAAAAAGTTCAAAAAGATAAAAAAAGATCTATGAAAGCCGGCGGCGAAATGCTACTCCACTTTTTCCCATCGTGCTGGTGCTCACTGCTCAGCGAGAGCTTGACAGGAAATATTTCTGAATTCCCATCATGGAATGAACCATATTGGTTGTGTGAAAGTAGGAACTACTACTTGCATATTTCGGCCGGTTTTAGGTCCCAACTTTTTCTTCAAAATTCTAACTTTTCTATCACATCAAAACTTTCCTACATACATAAACTTTCAACTTTTTTCTTTGAACTTTCAAATTTAGGCTATGTTTAGTTCAGCGCAAAGTTTGGATTTTAGTTGAAATTGGAGATGATGTGACTGGAAAGTTGTGTGTGTATGACAGATTGATGTGATGAAAAATGACTGAAGTTTGGATCCAAACTTTGGATCTAAACACAGCCTTAGTCAAACTTTCAATTTTAACGTGGAACTAAACACACCCTTAGGTTGTGGTTTTCAAATTTTCCGTCGTCAGAGTTTGCTCCGGTGTCAGTAACACTGTAACAGAGCTGTAAAAGGAGCCAAACACAAAATGTACATCTTGAGTGGTTGCAACTTAACCGCCAAGATTAGAACATAGCTCATGCTTTTGCATATAGGAGTACTTATCTTAGTAGTAGTTAGCTCAGTCATGTCCATCACATAGATATCAGATACACCCCTGTCATTCCAGTTAGTTCAGTAATACCTATCACACTATCAGGGCTATCAGTCCTGATTACCTTCATAAACTTTTGTCGGCCGATCACACTATCTCCAGCATAGCAATGGTCACCGACACAGCCGGACAGTTTCATCTGTGGTTATAGCTGTATATAAACCCATCGCAATCTGGACAACAGCATGGACAAAATAAGGGCAAAGAGAGCAATCTCATGATGATGTAGTAATCTTGATCGGTTTTATTTTTGTCATAAACAAGCAGACATGCATGTCACAACTCATAAGTCGTAGCACGTCTATATACGGGTTTTCACCGTAGTGGCATACTAGAACAACGGCAGGCTGCTCTTGTGTACCAGCCTAGTCGCATCCACGGCAGCAGCAGCCCGAGACCAATTCAATAGCCGGCTGCTTATAGCTTACTTGCCCGCAGGCCTAGTCGCGGTCCCAGCAGGACCAGCTTGTCGCAACAGCTGCACAAAGCCACGTTGTGTTTATTATGAGATAGGTGGAGAAATGAATGGTTTATTAGCCATAGGTGTGTTCAGTTTGTTGCAGAAAGAAAACTTACCAAACTTTGGCATTACCCTTTTTTTTTTTGGTGAAATACTCCCTCCGTTTCTAAATGTTTGACACCGTTGACTTTTTAGCACATGTTTGACCATTCGTTTTATTCAAATTTTTTTATGAAATATGTAAAACTATATGTATACATGAAAGTATATTTAACGATGAATCAAATGATAGGAAAAGATTTAATAATTACTTAATTTTTTTAATAAGACGAATGGTCAAATATGTTTGAAATAGTCAACGGCGTCAAATATTTAGAAATGGAGGGAGTATATAGTAACATTAGGTGGTATTTGGTTTAAGGCCTTACAAAATTTTATTTTGGTAAGGTTATGTTGGTAATGCTATGTTGTCTTGCTAGAATTTGGCAAGCTTGAAAATGGTAACGAGGTGAACACAACCTTAGTAACAAACATATATTGCCATTAATGAAAGCTGGGTACGAAGTGGCTGGTGAAGATTACCTGGAAGTAGGACTCCCACTTCTGCCTGAGGACGGCATGCTCCCTCTTCACTTTCTGGAAGGATCTCGTGCAACTGCATAACAATAGTAGTAGAGATCTATCATCATACGAAATAAGCCAATGAATTGAACAAAAAAAGATAGACGGCAAGGGCTAATTCCAGTTCACTAGCAGGAGGAACTTTCACCCATCAGAATATGCATGTGTAACTAGGTACTAACACTCATAACAGTGAGGGCTGACAGGTGACACTTCTACATGCCTCGACTGAGCCATGCCAAGTTTGACAAGGTGGCAGACTGGCACTTAGCCATTTACTTTGTTGGTTTTTCCGTAATGATCAGGCCGATTGGATGCTCTGGTTGCCACAGCCACTGCAGCTGCGGCAGTTGAAACCAGCTGCAGCCGGCAGCCATTTACAACTGCCACAGCCGCTGTGGCTGCAAGCCTGCAAGCACAGACGAGCACACCCAGTAACAGCCATGGGCATGGGAAAATCACAATGCTCAAGCCATGAACTTTTACCATGCCATACCACATGTCATAAAAGTGGAGAGAGAGAGAGAGAGATACCCTTCGGCGTTTTCTTCTCCACAGAAATTCCTGAATGAAGTGCATTCATTCTTCACCCTGGAGGCACCAATGCTGTGACAAACCATATCATGTCAAGCATTGATAAAGTACACAAAAGATTATCACATATGTATAACTAAGCAAATTGCCAGCTTCTTTTATCATGTCAAATAATGAAATAAGGAGTGAGCATGTACTCATGATCTACCAGCTGTGCACCTGCAAGGCTGCACCAATCAAAGCAATATGGGTCTCTGTAAATATCTCTGTTTAACATATTCCCTGACCGTTCACTAGAATTTCACAAGATATTAAGCAGGCCATTATTTGAAGGTCTTTTCTTTGTTGTGTGTGCGTGTGGTGGGAGTTCAGGTACATCAGGCTTCTGGAAGTTCTCCTTCAGCTTGTGTTCGAAACTGTCATATTTGCTTCCATTGAGAAAAGGATAAACTTAATATAAAAACCTGAGAACTATGCCAGTTAGGAAAGTTAAGCTACTTTCTTGAAGACTGAAGGGAGAAAAACTAAGGCCATATAGTTTTTATAGGGTAATGTTAGTTAGCTTTTTATAGATTCTTGACACTCTAAATTAGATTTAGTGATAAAATTATTATCACATACATAGTCTTTTTGAAAGATACAATTGTGTGCAGTTAAAAACTTAAGATTTCAAATTAAGTTTACCTACAGCATATGCTCAAAATATAGAAAATCTAATCATGTTCATTTTCACCCAACAAACCGACCTTGCGATGTGTGGCTCTCCTTCTCCAAGCAATGTTTTTCTAAACAAAGTTAGGTGGTTTGTTGGAAAAAGGCAGGATTATTTTTTCCTAGACAAATGGGTAATTGCACTAGGCATACACTTTCCTAAAAAGGCAATAAAATTCAAACACCCTGTAAAAGTCCATCAGTGCCAGTTCCGTCAAATGACAACATGGAGATCTCACAAGAAACTGAGCTGAGGCTTACCTAGAACAGCTGCCTTTCAATTGCTGCATGTGTGTGTCCCATCTGGCGAAGTCTTTCGGATGCTTCTCACTGTGTGATGTTAGATATTAGTAACCAACAATAATGCTGCTGAATGTGAAAAGATAATCAAGACAGGTCTAGTTTATGAAATTGTCACCACTTACATAGCTTGCTCAAAATTCAACATTACCCTGGTTGAATCCTTAAAAAACAAGGAAACAACCTCCTCTGCAAAATTTGGATTTGCTTCATCCTGCAAATCCTCAACCTGACAAAATTGCTCATCCAAGTAACCCTGTCAATACAAAACGATTTGTTAAACCAGCACACTTAACACATGTTAAACTAAGATAAAGACCAGAAAAGAGAGTTCCGAAATGGTGAAAGGCGTTGATTTTAAAGCATTTCTTTGCTAACTGGGGTGGGGATAAGTACGAAATGGAATGAACTCTACAGAAATATCGATAACCCACTTATATTAATATAATGTGCTTCAATCTGATTCTCCTTAGCTTTGTTTTCATTATCTGTGTGCAATAGTGTCAATCCATGGTATGGCAATTAAAATGGCATGACTGTAAGGTGATGTCCATCAAAACACTGTATTCTATGTCTTGCTGAATGATAAATAGCAGAAGAAGATATAGCAAAAGGACTGATGGATATATTTGCAGAGTCTCAGATATGCCTCAACTATAATGCTTGAAATTTGAGATGAACAGAGCACAAGCCTGATCGAAGAGGCTCTTTTTCAAGGAAGCTGCTTGACGTCGCAAATTACCGTACTCCATTCACAAGTATTGAACAGTCAGGAAAAAAATGAGGCGAAGTGAAGCCTTTAAAGTAGGAGTCAATCCCAAAAATGAATACACAGGTTGCCGATCACCTAAGTTACAGAAAGTAGAACATGAGGTTCATTTATATAGCCCAGGAGCCTGTTACTATTCCTTCACCAACATAAGTGAAGATATTTTAAAGTTCGTATACAAGTGAGTTATCCCAGGGTGTGCAATATCTATCCACATTTTAGACAGTGACTTGAATAGCTGCAGATTCTGGAGATACTTTATAGGATACTATTTTGTATATTTGGTGTTCAGAAATCAAAATTGCTCATCTATAACTAAGTGATCATTTATAGAGGCTACAGTACAAAAATATTGTCAGTATTTCAGTTGACATAGGACCCAGTATTATAAAATCCGCCCATTAAATTTTATAGCTAAATTCTACTAAAAATTATAAAACTAACAAAAGGATTTGTGATGAAAAATACATTCACACCATTTTCTAATGGTCAACTAGATTTTTAACAAATTATATTGCAAATTACTAAAGTATCTTTCCCACATCAACCCCAACCTTAATAATCTCGGTTATTTAATAAAGATCCAAGATGAAAGTATCTAACCTTTGTAGTTGCTTTTAGTTCACTCAGTTTCTCATTCAATGAAAAGACAAAATTAGTGCCTCTCGGTATCACATAATTATGTAGAAGCATGCAAGCGACAACTTCTGATATGTCGTAAGAACTCTTTCAAGACTTGATGCATCAAACTTAATATCTCACAGGCACAAACAAATAACCGTCCAGTTGACAATTTATTTTCAAGGCCATAAGAATTCACACATGCAGGGCTTAGAACAAGAATAATCATTTTTGGGAAAATAAAAAAAATGAAAACTATGAATTACTTCATCTGATATAATGTTTTAGTTAGTAAGTACCTCTTATATTCAAATAACATATGTTGAGTCCAAATATATGAATCATAATAACTCCTAAAATAAGAAATTTTCTAGGGTGACACATTGCAGGAACAATCAAATAGGGAAATGATACTATCATTTTTTTCACCTCAAAGTTCAAGCATAATGCGGTGATAAAATCATTGACACCGATGGGAGGATTATAATAGGCCGAAAAGATTCTTACTTTGTACACATCAAAAAAAAAGTTGGAGAAAGAAAGCGATTTCAATAGCTCCTTTGAAGTTACAAACAAAATTCTCTCAAATCAGTGGGCCACGTGGCAAACTAGTAGCCTTTGCCCTTGCAGAAAAAACAAAGAGTATCATTTACCAAAAGGTGTAAAATAAGTTCATTCAATGATTGGTCGAAAGAGTACATTCAATCACATCTTGATAAGAGAATCTGACGTGGGTTCAAACACAAGGAAAGTTTCAAACATATCACAAAAGCAAATTCTAATCTATGCAGATCAAACTGCCATGGCAGCGAATGATAAATGAATGGGGAACAGAAATAGAGTACATGAAAGCTAGCAGTTGCTACCTCCCCTGGATAACGGGTAATGTGTTTAAATAAAGGGACAATGGCATGGCTCACTATTCATCCTTACAGTGGCATCGCTCTCCCTTTAGCTACGGGACATTCTCATGACGACATCTTTCTACAGAACATTTCAACCTCCCACCAGTGACCTTTCCCCCCCACCCCCCAAACGAAAACATTTCAACCTCGATATGCAGCAAGCAGTAAAACATCTCCCAGGACCAGCCACACAAGCAGAGAGCAATAATTGTATTTCCTGTAAAGATGTTGAAGATAGTACAAAAACTACAAATACATTATTCACGTATTGCAATTCTAAACAAAAAGCAACAGTGGAGTATTGAGTCAGGAATTCTGCTATGAATAGTTTACATATAATGTCACGACAGCACCTTAGCACACAGAATTATCAATTTACTTACTGTTCATTGAAACAATAATCACTGCCCAGGTTTTGGTTGGAATTTTAATGAATGCTTATCTCTGAAGCTATTATCCTGAACACAATTCCTCTCAGACGTTGATTTACACCTGCAACATACACCATGTTTATTATAGTGGGTCACCATGGTATGATAAGATTCTCTAATTGATGAACCATAAACATGGCATATATATCATGTTGCTAGGTATTCATAATACTCTTCAACATATATAACAACAAAAATCAGTAACTTCCTAGATATAATATTCATAGTATCAGCACAGCACACACTTAAAAACTCTCATTTACATTGTGTTCCAAACATGTTTGTTTTATTTTCTTTGTATGCACACAAGCTTGCTTTTGCTACTATAATTTCAATTCTGAATATGAATAGATTATGTATGATTGATAGCCAGAAAATATTCCGTGATTTGCAACAATGCTCGATGTTATCCATTTTAACACTTTGTAATGACCTGGCATCATCAGATTAACAGTGACTGCAAACATCACTACGGCAGAAGTACACAGATGATGGGTGCAACCCTTAGCCCTTACAGCCTTACTCAGGGGGTGTTTGGGAGAGAGGGGCTAAAGTTTAGCCCCTCTCTCAAAAACATAAGTCCCTCCCCTAGGGACTTATGGTTTTGTTAGCCCCTCTCTCCCAAACACCCCCTCAGCAATGCATACATATCATGCTGCTAACGATATAAAAAAGCTGACACAACGGAATCCATAACTACATAGTAGAGAATAAGAATAAATACAAGGCCCCGTTTAGTTCCCAAATTTTTTTTCCCAAAAACATCATATCGAATCTTTAAACTCATGCATATAGTATTAAATATAGATAAAAACAAGAACTAATTGCACAGTTAGGGAGGAAATCGTGAGACGAATCTTTTGAGCCTAATTAGTCTATGATTAGTCATAAGTGCTACAGTAATCCACATGTACTAATGATGGCTTAATTAGGCTCAAAAGATTCGTCTCGCAGTTTCCAGGCGAGTTATGAAATTAGTTTTTCCATTCGCGTCCGAAAACCCCTTCCTACATCCAGTCAACATTCGATGTGACACCCAAAAATTTTCTTTTCGCGAACTAAACGGGTCCCAAGCTGAGGATACGCTACCTCCTTTTCGATGTTTTGATTCCTTGTCTGATGTGGTGGCAGCCAATCCATTCTTTCCTAGTGGCATCCAAATTGGGGACAAAGGTGCAATGATGCCTGCACAACACAACCACACAAGTGAGAGTTTTGGCAGGTACCGATCAATGGATAAGAGTCTCCTAGCAGCCGATTTCCGTTCGATTGAAGACAAAATCAGCGTGGACGCGGATATAATCACATGACATCGTAAACTCCAAAACAATATCTGAACAGTTCGCTTGGCTAATCACTAGCCAACTGCACCAGCGCGACAGATGCAAAACTAGTTCACGCCAAAATTGGAAGTTTGGTTGAAATTGGAACGATGCGATGGAAAAGTTAAAAGTTTATGTGTGTAGGAAAGTTTCGATGTGATAGAAAAGTTGGAAGTTTAAAGAAAAAGTTTGGAACTAAACAAGGCCTAAACAGGGTACAGGGGTGGGGACTTGGGTGTGTTGTGGTGGTTACCTTCCGGGTTCCGGCGCATCTCGACGGCGGCGGCGGAAGACTGCATCACCCGCGGTGAGCACTCATCGCCGACGGATCTCACTGCTTTCGCGCTCCCCAACTCTACACTCTGGTGGAATGGTAGAGCCAATAGGCCATGGAAAAATACGATTAGGGAGCTTGCGCTTCCAGCGGAAGAGAGAGCAGCGAGGAGATGCGGCGACTCCGGTGGGGAAGAGGCTCATGGCGAGGCCGCGACGGCGAGGCGGCTGTCGGCTTCGCCGGACGAGCGGCGGGACCCCGGGAGAGGGAGATCAGAGAGCCAAAATACAAAAAAAAAAAAAAAGAACGGAAACGAACACAACGTGGCCCTCTTTGCACGGTCCGATGCGGATCGGAGCAAGGGCCCAAGAAGAGATTAGTCGAGGACGAATAAAAAAAAGAGAGAGAGAGAGAGAGATAAGTCGAGGACGGAGAAATTCCCCAAGCCGCCGCCACTAACCCTAGCTTCCGCCAGCACGGTATTAAAACCCTTCCGCTCTAATTTCCTCGCACCATTGATTTTTGTTCTGTGCGTTCGTTTCGATCCAAGTAGTTCCCCAACAATCCTGCTACTGCGGAACTGCCGATTTTGCTGTCAGTTTATTTTGATCGCAAACAGTAAATATTAGCCGAGCGTCGTTTGGCATTATCTTTCAATTCCATGCTTCTTTCAAATTTGACCCATCATGCATGTTATCAAAATTTACTAGAGACCCAGAAATATGCCGATGTTCTGTGGTGACATACCTATGTCCTGTTTTTTCTAGTTAGTTTGCATGTCTTGAAATAGGCTTGTGGAAAGAACTTGTGTTTCGAGCTTCATGTTAGAGAGTGGTGGGATGGCACCCTCTAATAGGCCACTTGAGGTCTCTAATTCTTTTGTTTTCCCAGTCTGAGTCAGATCTGTGTAAGAATCTTACATTTCTAGTAATAGAAATTGGGGGTTACTCCCTTGTTTTAAAAAAAAAAGGAAAGACCCAAAAAAAATTCACTAGACTAAGGGCATGTTGGGATGGTAGCCATTGCCAAAATTTTGGCGAAGTGGGTTTGTTTGATTTGATGTGAATATATTTGGAGCTTTTTTTAAACCTTGCCAAAATATTGGCATTGCAATTTTCCTTGTATCAAACCAAATAAGTGCCTTGCCGTTACCAATTTTTTGTGTTGTTGATTTAGGCACATAAGATCCAAAGTATTCATCGTTTCCTGCAGGGTGCAGATCAAGTTCCAAATCAACCTGATTGGTCCTCAACTTTGAGGGTAACATGATGCGAGACAGCAAGAGGACGAGGTCCGCACCACCCAGAGAACCACTGGAAATGACAGAGGACATGACCCCAAGAAGCAAGAGGAGGAAATTTGTACCATTCGGAGAAGGTGCGGTGCTACCTGAGGAGATGCTGACGGAGGTGTTCCTACGACTGCCCATTAAATCCATCCTTCGTTTCCGGGCTGCCTGCCACTCCAGGTATGCAATGTTGTCTTCCCAGGAATTTTGTCAACTCTACATCACAAGAACTGAGGCAATGCCACCACAACCTAAGCTTCTGTTTATCTCGCCTACAGCAAATTTCAACTCCACTGCGGTGTACACGTGCTCGCCATCGAAGCCCATTGATGACCTACTGTTCACACTCGATGATGTGCGTGGAAACTATGTGGAAGTGGCACCTTCACCATGCCATGGCCTCACCCTCCTGTATAATGCTGTTGCGCCAGCTTACTACGTCTTCAATGCAACTACACGGGCAATCACACGGTTGCCACCTTACCAAGATGTGATTCATGCCACTGCTGGCGTTGGGTTTGATGCCCGGACGAAGGAGTTCAAGGTGGTGAGGCTTTTTCGAGGAAAATCGCATGAGATCCATTCTGTAAAGTGTGAGATATTCATTCTTGGGGGTGAGGAAGGGGATCATTGGAGGCCTACCGCTGGTGGAGTACCTTTCAGGTTCTGTAGTTTTGCTCTTTCTGCTATCCGCAATGCAGTGGCGAACAAACTTCAGCCAGTTTTTGTTAACGGATTTCTCCACTGGTTGATCAACCCCTCGTTTTTACTCAAAGCACCAAGAGCTGCTATCATATCATTTTCTCTCACTGATGAAACCTTCAGATGGATCCGATCACCACCCTTTGAGGTATCCAGAGTGCACTTGGCTGAGCTTGATGATCAGTTGTGTATGGTCCGAGACCTTCGTAATGGCTTGCCTACTGGTAGCATGTTTGAAATTTGGAGGCTGAATGACTATAACTCTGGTGATTGGTCGCTTGATTACCGAATTGGTTTGACAGGGAATTTGCCAAGAGATTTACTTGAGCCACGAATTGTGAAAGTTATTGGTTCCTTTGGTAGCTACAGATCAAGCAAGAAGATAATCATCGCTACATCTAAGCACAAGGTGTGTGCCTATGATCCAGTTTCTAGAACTCTTGAAACCATTGTCTCAATCATGGTGACCTGCAGTGCCTATCAAAACGAGAAATCTGATATTAGATTCAGTTCATTTACAAAGAGTTTTACCCCAGTGCATAGGACGAGGAAAGAGATAGGGTTCTCTACTCCCTTGTCTAAGGCTACTAAGGAGATCCTACTCCGATTACCAGCTGAATCAATCTTGAAATTGGAACTTGTTTGTAAGCAATGGCGTGGATTGATAAAGAATGAAGGTTTTGTTCATGCATACTTTGAGCATAAGAACATGGACAGGAGGCCAAAGATCATGCTTGTGGGTAAGGGCTCTGAAAAATCAGTTTTCAACTTTATTCCCTTGAGTAAATGGCTCCAAGAGGCAAATCTAGGCACAATGTTTCTGGACAAAAAGGTGGTTTGCTCCAAGCCTTGCCATGGGTTGAATCTGGTGAGCATTGAGATGAAAGACTATCTGTTCAACCCGTGTACAGGTTACCGCATGATCTACTAGAACAGAGACCATCAGCTGTACCAGGAATGGTCCAATTTGTCTAGTGATCGCTGCAAAGACTACAATCCTTTTGTAGTTGGCAATAAGAATGTTGGTATGGGGTTTTGCCAGGTGACTCAGAGTCATGCCGTTGTGGGAATTTTCTATTACTGGAAAAACTACGAATCTCATCAGTATTACTTAACATGCATTATATGGAGTTGTAGCTCCCAAGGCCAGCCACTCCCCGATCCACCTCTGCCTGTGAATGACATGCCACCTGTTTCTCTGGATGGTGTGCTGTACTGGATGAGTGAACCAAGGTTGGGTCAGAGTTATGAGCGGGCCATTGTCTTTTTTAACATTGCCGCTAAGATTTTTGATGTTATCCCTTGCCCTTCATGCATTGCAATCTGGGACAGCAGAAATCCATGTCACGCATTTGTGGTCGAGCTTCAGGGAATGTTGTGTGCTGTCCTTTCAAATCCAGTTGCAGATAAGTTAGATATATGGAAGTGGGATCATGGTCTGTGGAGTATAGCATATGCAATCAATTTAAAATTCTGGCCAGATTATTCCCTTGCGACAAATGTTGTAGTGCCTCTCGCAGTTGACCCAATAGATGGAAAGGTTCTACTGAATACTGGGAGGAAGCTTGGTTTATATAATCCATGTGAGCAAACAATCGAAAACTTGCACTTGATCAGGCGTCGCAGCAACAGAACCCTGGAGTTAACAGAAATTTCCACATTGCCAGATGCCAAGATGTTCCTAAGAAGTTCTCTCAGTGGAAACTATTATTGGCTCCGTGCGAGAAGTTTGCTAACCCTTCAAGTGCTTCATCAGGGAAGAATCCATTTTACTCCAGAGACCAATCTAAGGAGCTAAATAGTGTGAGTCAAAAAATTATGCCTCTGGTTCCTATGTTGTACGAGGAGGGTTTAGCTTACTATCCTACAACTCCTAAATTGAGAGTATTGTGCGATTGAAGTGTTGTCATATTATGGGCCTTTTTCATGGCTCTTGTTCTGCCTCTCTTATAGCTGGAGCGTAACTAATATAGATGGCCATAAGGCCCGAGGCCTGAAGGCCCGGCCCATGGCACGGCTTTTTGGCCCGGCCCAAAGCACGGCACGGCCTGACTTGGATCGGGCCCGTGCCGGCCGGCCCGACCGCCGGGCTGTGCCTGGGCCTCCCCATCGGCACGCTGGGCTGGCCCGGCACGGTCGGGCCAGCCTGGCACGATGGGCCGGCAAGCCAGGCCCGGCAGACAAAATATAGGGACTAAAAATAGACATAAATGTCACTGTCCAAAGAATAGGGACCTTAAATAGACTTATTTTAGTTATTTACATATCACAGCCCAAAGAAGAGGGACGTAAAATAGACTTTTTTAGCTATATATAAGTCACAGCCCAATAGGAGGAAGGAAAATTATACTTATTCTGAGGAAAAGCACGATGGCCCATCGTGCCTTCGGGCCGGCCCGACACGGTCCGAGGCGTGTTGGGCCGTGAGTGCGGCACGTGGGCTGGCATGGCATGGCCCGATGCATCGGTCGGGCCGTGCTGGCCCGACAAGCCTCGGCCCAGGCACGACCGGGCCTGGGCCGTGCCGTGCCGGGCGGCCCACATGGCCATCTATAGTAACTAAACGGTTCCAGCTCTATCAAAAGGAAGTGAAATTAGTTGGAGTGCTCTCATAAAATGAATTATTAGATAGGTGGAGAGTTGGGTTTAGGCCGCTTTCGCTCCAAATCCAACTTATGAAATTAAATTTAAGAGTTGAAGCTCATATATAGTAGCTAAGATTTTATAATGTTAAAATGCCGTGGTATGTCCCGTTAAAATTGTAGTCAGGGGTGAAGCTAGCATCAAAACAAGGGGGGTGCACTATCATTGAGAATCTACAAAATTTCAGTACAACACTGTATATTCTAATTTTTTTAAGTGAGAAATTAGGAATTTAGGGGTTCATGTGCATCCCCCCCCCAAACACTATATAGCTTCGCCACTGATTGTAGTTGTCATTTCAAGCCCAGCTTTTATAGCTCAAAGACCTTAACATTATTTCCTACTCCATCACTGCAAGAATGTAAAGGCGGATGTGAAAGCAACTTCCTACTCAAATGCAAGATATTTCCTATTTTCAGCTTTCTCACTCGTACTACGTATTTTAACGCCCCTTGTTTCACTTACATTTATACTTATCCGTGAGATTTATTAATAAAAGAATAATTTATGTATAAAACTTCTATATATCTGTCCTTAGCAATTTTAAAAAGTAAACCATGATGAAAAATTCACAAAATTAACTCGAAAGTTAAGTTTTAAAATTTAAACTTCGGCTTGTAAGAATAAGCGATAGAATGGTGCTGTAGATTATATACTCGTGTAACGATGAGGTTTCATTGCCTGAGATCGAGTGCATCATGTCTCGAGCAGTCAAATATTAGAGTTTCCTTTAGCCCAAGTCATAACTAGATGGATTCACAGTTGATGAGCTGGGAACACTGGGCGAACGGGGTGAGAACGGTAACGGTAATTCCCGGCTGACCGGCGTTTGTTTCTGACTTTCTACCGGCCGAGCCATATGAAAATGGTAATCGACCGAAAAAAATATGAAAATGGTAAAATATATGGAAATGGAAACGGAAATGGTTTTATTGTTTTACCGATCGTTTCCGTATTTACCGTATTCTTGTGGAAATTACCGTTTCTTATAATATGATAATTACCGTAGTTCTAAATATGTCGATATTTATAGGGCATGTCTCTACTTGACCCATAGTTTAGAGGTTGAATGACTCTTCAATCAAATTCCTAACTTGAGTGCATGGCTAAAATGGAGTTAATTTATGATTTATATAGTATAGCTTGAATTTATTTGTACATATATCATACTTATGTAAAGTTTTCTATAGTTTAATGTTTTCATATTTGTTACCGGTTTCCGATTTGTACCGACATGTTTCCGTCCGTATTATTCCGTTTTCGGTTTTCCGATATTTCCAATATCGTTTTCATTTCCGACTTTACCGTTTTCGATATCATTTCTGAGAAAAAAATGATTATGGAAATGGTTGAGGTGTTTTCAGATCTTTCATATCGTTTCCGACCGTTTTAATCCCTACGCGAACCTAATACTCCTCCTAGTAGTCAAGAAAGTCACTGACAAAAGCTCCCTACAGAAATAAAGAACTTCTGTAATTAAATTTCTTTCTATAGAAATATCTGAAGACTTTATCTAGGAATTTTAGATAGAGATTTTTACTATAAATTTAGAAATCTTTTTTAACGAAACTTTCTATAGTGAATCCTTTCACAGGAGTTAAAAATAGAGTAAAAACCTCTAATGAACATTTTGAAGAAATTTCTATTAAAGCCTCTGATGAAAATAATTCTCTACCTTAAGTAGAACAAACAAATTGCATTTTTAAGTTTCAATCAGCTAAAAGTACTTCGTCTATCTCAAAATATAAGAATTTTTAGTAAGTTTAGAACAATTTAGGGTGTGTTTGTGTTTGGTTTGAGGGATCATGAATGGGAGACGGTGATCCAACTTTTAAGCAACAATCAAAAACATACCATGCCCCTTATTGAACAGGCATGGCAGATGGCATCACTCTTGATCGGTTTAATTGTCGGCCCATCTTGACTGGTGGGCTAATCTATCTATACCTTAATAGTTACACGCTCGCGCATATATACATATATATACATATATACATATATACATACATATACATATACATATATATATGTATATACATATACATACATATACATATACATATATATATGTATATACATATACATACATATATATATATATACATATACATATATATATATACATATATACATATATATATATACATATATATGTATATATATATATTGAGGGAATGGTTAGTTCATATCTAATAATTGGATGGTTACAACCAAATACTTCTACATAGAATGCCAAAAAAAAAGTACTTCTACATAATAAAATTTAAACGCTAGACATCCTAAAATATTTTGAAACATAGTGAGTAATATTAAAAACAAACTGGTAGGAAATCATTAGCTCACTGAAACAAGCCATCGATCAAAACCTCGCCTCCTAGTCCTACACCCATGGTCTCTTGATCGAGGTGTTCATTTTTTTTCCTCAATCGCCTCCTACAAAACACGCCGGTGTTGCACACCCGCCAATGGTGTGGAACGCTGCTTAGAGCAGATACAATAGCAGACTATTAACTAATTATAAACATATTTTAATGAAATAAAAGATAAGAGAGAAGAGCAATGGGCTACAGATATATAGTCAGTTGCAGCACGGACTCTAAGACGCAATGTGGATATGATGGGTGAGACCATATATTAATAGTATAGTAAGTAACTATTTTATGAATTAGGTATTAGGTTTGGTTATAGATGAATTGGAGGTAGTAGTGAACTGTACTATTAAACTTTCTCTTATGTATTGGGCTGTGTGGGTCAAGTACGCCTCGCTTTGCGTCGTCGAGACTCGACAAGACGAGAAGCGTCTACAGAAAGCTGGGCCTCGACCCGGCCCAGAAAGGAAGGAAGGGGAAACCAACCCAAATCTCGCTTGCGCGTCAGGCCGGCGTCTCCGTGATTCTCCCCGTCCCGCGGCGCACCGGCACCGGCACCGGCACCGGCGGCGAGATGGCGGACTGGGACGGGGTCCCGGCGAGGGAGCGGCGGCAGATGGAGGAGATCCTGCAGCTCGATATGGAGGAGCTCAACGTGGAGATGGTCAACGACGACGGCTCCTCCTCCGAGGAGGCGAACGGCGGCGACGACGGCGCCGACGCCTTCCTCAGGTCGGGCGACGCCCCTCCCTCGTTTCGCCATTTTTTTACCCTCTCTGATGCGACCTAGGGTTCTCTAAGTAGAAACTGGGTCGCAGCGTACTTGGTTACCTGCTAGGGGTGGTGGTACTGTGCATTTCTACTAGGATTGAAATACGTCAACCTAAGAATTCAATTCAACCGATAGCATTTCCTGTCCGAGAGAGTGAGGATGGGAGGCGTTAGCTTATGATTTGATGTTTGTTTCCCTGATCTCGCATGTGGAGGATTGGTGATTTCAGCTCGGGTAGACTAGAGAGCGTAGGGATTTGAGGGAAGGGGGTTACTAGGGGAAGCCACGATCCTTGTCAGTGTGTACCCTTGAGCCTTGACCAAAGTTTCACTTTGGGCATATTGATTTACTCTCTGATTTTTTCAATTTATTGGTGGGTGTGCTGTGTGCCACGATATATCTGTAGCTCATGGCCAGATACCTGGAAAATTTTTGTTTGTTAGTCTTAACTATGGTTTTGAGAGATTTCACATTGTTCATTTCCTAATTCCTGATTATCAGAGATACCGACAGGGAAGGAGTGGCTAGCACTTCTGGACAATTCACATTCAACACATCTCTAGCCTCGTTGCACACCTATCTTGGTGGTAAATGTCCTCGCTATCCTTGCTATATGATGTTTGATGCTGATAGAAAAGAAAGTGTAATAAGACTCTTTATGTGTCACTCAGAGGTTGATGATACACGGGGTCGAGTTTCTCTCTTAGATGGTGGCACAATCCTCAGCTTGCCAATGCTATATCTTCAAGGTAGGTCTTGTATGTTTGTATTTTATTTCGTTAATCCGCAATCTTGATTATCATGCCAGCGTTGAAGACACACTAATTAGTGATCACAATTTTTTTTTCATGCCATCATTTCTCCATATTATTTTGTCTGCATGCCAGCCCTTCTAAGTTACATTCTTTTCTTTTGAACTCACTTGACATAACCTGGTCTATTAACGTATCCACTGTTATTGTTAATGTTAAAAAGAGCTTGAGCAATACTACTATCTATTTATATAGACTTATTATTTCAGAGGAATTGCACATACCATTTTTAGTCACTATTTCCTTTATATTGCAGTTATACAGCCATGTGAATATACGGAGTACTTTGTAGTGAGTTTAGGACCTGAGGTTTCTTTTGATAATTGATAATTTCTTAATGCATATGACTAGAGAAGTGGCATCCAATAATCTAAAAGGCTACAAGCATCCCTAAACAGTGTTGTTATGTCGACATTTTTCTGTTCCAGTCCTGCGGGTTCATGATACAATTGGATATTAACTCCATGGGCAGTGAAATATATTCTTAATTTTAAATCTGGAACATAAGAACAGGCACAAATCCTTACCTGTCTCTCTCCTGACTAATGCATAACAGTGATAGTGTAAATGCGACAGGATTTTTCTGGTAGGTTATCAAGCATCAAATTTATTATAATATGAATTTGTTTCAGGTGTTGTCCTATTTCCTGGAGCTACCCTGCCTCTCAGACTAATTCAGGGTAGATTTGTAGCAGCTGTTGAGAAAGCTTTGAGGCAGGTCGATGCTCCATGCACAATTGGTGTGGTAGGTGCCAGTCTGTTGAAATTAACTAATTTTATTTGTTGAATTCCTTTCCAATGACGCAGTTTAATTTTCAGGTTCTCATGTACAAGCGACACAGTACTCGACATTATGCTAATGCTTCAGTTGGAACAACAGCCGAGGTGTTGTACATTTTCTCTGCTGTGCTTCAAGTTAGAATTTGTTTATCAGTTAGTCATTTTCACCGATTCTTCATGTGGTTTGGTTGTTTTCTGTGCTGCCAATTGAGCTTTTCCGTAGCCAGTTCCATCATCCTTGGGTGATTTGTTATTATTTCTACAGGACACATAAGTTACCCTCTCGTCACATTTTGTAATTAAGATGATCTGCTTAATAAATAAAAACATGAGGGAGTTAATTTATATCATTCAAGAATCAGGACCCAGTCTTAGCAGTTAGCATTTAATATTTCTTGTAAATGGGACAATTGAATCATTCATTTAGAATAGACTGATATCCAATATTTCAGAATTTCCTTCACTTGGTCACAATATCTCTATCAAACTTTTGGAGAATCATGTACTCATCTAGTTTTCTGATACTTCACAAGATCTAGAAGACCAACAGAACATATAAAGCCCCATCGTTTGGCTTATCTGCGGAATAAGCCAAACGGCGTATTTGCAAACGAAAAGTAATTTGTGAATAAAACTTTTATATACGTGTCCTTAGTGATCTAAAAGCAAAGGCTGAAAAATAAACTTCGATGAGAAAACCTCAAAATCGGCTTCAAATTTAAGGTTGAAAATTCAAATTTTGGCTGATAAGCATAAGCATAAGTGAAAAGATGAGGCCGATATGCACTGTGATGTCTTGTTTACATGTCAAGCTCGGTCATTAGCCCCTTAGTATGATTTATGTATAAAGTGATGTATAATTCCTTTCGAACAGCCTCACAAGGTAAGCTGGTATTTTGTTATTTCTTTAACAGATAAGACAACTTGGGAGGATGGATGATGGTTCATTAAATGTTGTAGCCCGTGGGCAGCAAAGATTTCGTCTGAAGCGTCATTGGATGGATGTTGATGGGGTGGTAAGTATAAATTTAATTGAAGATATATTATTCTGAATTAGGAGCTGGAGAGAAGTTAGGTTCATTTTTTCTCACTCAACAGGTGTGGGGTGATGTCCAAATCATTGAAGAAGATACTCCTTTAAGAACCCCAAGGGATGCATTTGCACAGCTAGCATCATGTAACAGTTTACGGCAGCATACCTCCTCACCAGTTATCAGTTTGGATGTCTCTCCAATCAAACAACGGGATCATGTGGATTCAGAATTGGATTGTGGTACACCATCACCTAAAAGCACTGCAAGCAATCATTCAGCGATTGATTCAAGGATGTGCCATTCAGATTCACGATCCAGCAGTTCAATGAGATCTTCTAATGAAGATGGGATTTTCATGCATGAGCAGTTTTACAGCCAGGAGCTACATCCTTTAAAAGGAAGTGCAGCAGTTCAGTCAGGCGAGAATACCAACATGGGTGAGGAGGATTTTTGTTTAACATCGCTCAGATCCTTGTCAAGTGCAGGAACAAGAGATACTAAGGAGCAGCGTCAGTACATTCTTCCAAAGCAACATTTTCAGGCACCATTATCATTTTGGCCTCGGTGGGCTTATCAAATGTACGATTCATATGCACTTGCTCGTAGGGCTGCAGGTAAAGTGCTCCCATATTCATCAAACTGAGCCTTACAATGCATTCTTGTCATTCATGGATTCTTAGCCCAACGATTGTAAATTCTTATGTTTTATAGATACCACTCCACTAGTGTTTCCCATCAAAAAAGAACTTCTTATTGGATGATTGATCGTTTTGAGTGTTATTGAGCATCTCGCTCTGTATGTTTATTTTAACCAAAATACACTATTGTCATTTGCTGCAGACCTCTGGAGACAGATAATCACACACCCAAGCATGGATGATTACGTGAGAAAACCAGATCTTCTGTCATTTTCCATTGGAAGCAAACTTCCTGTATCAGAATCTGTGAGACAAAAGCTACTGGAGATTGATGGAATCTCGTATCGTCTTCGAAGGGAGATTCAGCTTCTCAAGGCCTTTAATCTCATAAAATGTAGATGCTGCAAGGTAACTATCTACCATGTTTGGAATTGCTAATTTATCGAGCTTCTGATTGGAAGTAATGGACTTATTGTTGGCCATTTCGTTACTACTTTAAAAGAAGGTGAATTGTTTATGGTGGTGTTGTATGTTAATCATATGAGTCTGTCACCCGACAGCTCACCATTGCAATTTTTTGGACAACCCCTTAATTTTTCTTGAATTGCACAGTAGTTAAATATCTAACTGAATACACATACACAGACACACAGTATATGAGTTGGTCTATAATCAAGGAGTTTAAGCACTGTCAAGTTCTCCCTGTAGCGAAGTTATAATTCTGTTAATTGGTATCAACCACAAGTATTTAGCTAGTTTTCCATATAAAATGGATAACTATTCTAGGTCATCTGTATCGTAGCAATTTCATTTACCATGTCATGGCCTGCTAAATTATCTGTATGTACATCCCATTTTCATTTTTCAGCAGGGTATGACATGGTACAGTTTGTCGTTGTAGAATGCTGCAGCTGCAGCATTGGAAGAATTAGCACTAACATAAAATCAAACTACTTGATAGTTCATATTGATTTGCTGATTAGGCTCATTTGGCTGCTAGGAAAACAATGCTCCATGTAACCTGGTTTTCGTTGATCATAAACATTATTTGGAAATGGCGTGTAGTTACATCAAAGAATTTCAATACAAAGTTTATCACTCTGTGTTGACATGATTTGAACTATGGCAGTCTCTCATAGCAAAGCGTAGCGACATGGTAGTGATGTCTACTGATGGTCCTCTTGGTGCGTATGTCAATCCTCACGGTTTTGTCCATGAAACAATCACAGTTAGCAGGGCAACTGGGCTTGCTCTTGATGGCAATCCTTCAACGGTTCACAGCTGGTTTCCAGGGTAAATCTACAGTTTCTCCTTGTTCTTTGTAATCTTCATGTCCATCATACACCCTTTAACTGTAAAAAACTAAGTTCATGCATGATTTTCTTCTTGTAACCAACTTTGTTTCTGCTGCTATGCAGATACTCGTGGACGATTGCATCATGTACGGACTGTGAGTCCAACATAGGCTGGTTGTTCAAAGCAACCAAGAAGAATCTGCGACCGAGATCCTTCTGGGGGATCCGTAGCTCCCAAATTGCAGATGATGCACAAGAACTAGATCAGGACGAATGATGCTCCGTGTACAGTAGTAAACTTTGTGTGCCCCTCCCTTTTTCTTATGAAGTTATGGAAAACACTTTATTCTCTGGTCCATAGGCCTAGTTCTCCGTACCTGAGTAGTGGTCGTTGTGACGATCGCTATAGAATAACCACTTCCTCCTGTGTGTATTACACAACCATTGCCTTATGCTAAAGTTCCGTCACAGAATTTTCTGAAATGTAGTGTTACTAGAAATCCATAGTACAAGATGAATGATGATATGATCAGATGTTTCAAGCAATGGTTTGACATGTCTTATGAGCACATAGAAGTTGGTGCTTGATACCTTCACTTGAGGCAAATACTCGTGCTGTAGTGGTAATTGGTAAACTGGTACTGGTAGTGAGCTAGCACTGGCAGTGCCATGTTTTTGCTATCTGTACTGAAATTGGGGCCAATTGCACCTGACGAGCAGCAACTCAATATGGGCATATGGCATCCTTTTTTTCCCTGCGTATTGTCCTTTTGTTTCAGCCACAGTAGCAATTGGCCGGTATTCCATTGCCACCTTTGATGAGAGGGAGGGAGAGAGAGACCTCACGGGTGGCAGCAAAGGCAAAGGAGCAGCAAGAAGCCGACAGAGAAAGTAAGGCCATGGTAGAATGACAGGTGAGGAATCGATCAGACGGGAGGAAAACAACACCGAAAAGGAATGCACTTCTCTGCTTTTGTATATGCATGCACCTCTACCTACCCATTCGCGATGCACCAATGAAATACGTTGCCAAATACCTTAAAATACTAGTCTATTGTTCAGGTGATAGTAATATTGACACTAGTAGTTCTCTAATCTCTAGTTGCTAGTCTTGTTTATGTTCTATTTTTTCTTGTTGCAATAGTAGCACATGATCGTAGTAATGCTGTATGATTGATGATTGGATGGCATGGAACTATGAACGGATCAAACTTATCTCGATAATATGGTAATAACAAGGAGATGTAGACATGTACTCCAGCATTGTAGTCAGACAGCCGAATCACGAAGCTAGTGTGGAACCATGACAGAAGAAGGCACTACTCAGAATAAATCCAGTCACGGGTTTAAAAAAAAAACAGAGAGAGAGGAGAATCATCATCACAAAGCTAATGCAACAACAGCACAAGCGTACTTCCGCATGAGACCAAGCAAGGAAAAAAGAAATTCCAAACTGTCCCCAAGAAAATTCCTGCCCCAGGAGAGCACAGCGCCGGCCTGTACAGGTCATCGTTCCCAATAAGACAGGGGGAAGCTGAGAGGCAAAGAGCACCACCAACAACGCGTGCACTGAATTGCATTGCACATGGGACATGGCAAACACCGGCGCGTCGCCACCCGCGCATGCACGCACGGGCGCGGGCGCGGCCACGGGCACATCCTCTCCTGCGACTCGTGAGCCGTGTCATTCCATCGCGGCTTCCTGCTCGATCCGCTCCCTGCCATGCCCGTGACCGTGATCTCCATAAATTCCCCCACCCTGTGCGCGATGCGTCTATCCCCCACGATAATTAGTAGGCCTGCCACCTCTTGCCGCGAGCAAGACGACCACACCACCAACCACCATCCATGGCGGTGTCCGTGTCGTGGTCGTGGGCGCCGCGGTTCTTGGCCTGCGTCGCGGTGGCGGTGTTGCTTGTTACGTCGGGTTTGGGCGGTGCGGCCGCCGGCGGCGGCGGGCGACGCCATGGGCACACGAAGGGGTTGCGGCCGGGGAAGGCGGCGGCGAAGCCGTACTATCCGGTGAACGCGACGGCGGTGGAGGCGATCGAGCGGCAGTTCACGCGGTGGGTGCGGTCCATGGTCGGGCGACGCCACAGCACGTTCCAGCGCGCGCTCTACCGCGGGCTGCTGCCCACGCGCACCCTCGTCGTCGACAAGAACCCCGCCGCCGGCAACTTCACGTCCATCCAGGCCGCCGTCGACTCGATCCCGCTCATCAACCTCGCCCGCGTCGTCATCAAGGTCAATGCCGGCACATACACGTACGTCACTCACGTGGCTACTTAATTTGGTCTCTGTAATTTTCTTCCACACCCCCACCGTATCCAGAGCGTTCGTCCGAATGCCTACACCGATCTCCCCGTGCACCGTGCAGTGAGAAGGTGACCATCTCGCCGCTCCGCGCGTTCGTGACCATCGAGGGCGCCGGCGCGGACAAGACGGTGGTGCAGTGGGGCGACACGGCCGACACGGTCGGCCCGCTCGGGCGCCCCTTCGGCACCTTCGCCTCCGCCACGTTCGCCGTCAACGCGCAGTTCTTCGTCGCCAAGAACATCACCTTCAAGGTGAGCACCACTACTACACTACAAATGCGGCATCATTTGTGCCGTGGCGTGGCTCATTCGTTTCGTCTGTCGCGTGGGCAGAACACGGCGCCGGTGCCGAGGCCGGGGGCGCTGGGGAAGCAGGGTGTGGCGCTGCGGATATCGGCGGACAACGCGGCGTTCTTGGGGTGCAACTTCCTCGGCGCGCAGGACACGCTGTACGACCACCTCGGCCGCCATTACTACAGAGACTGCTACATCGAGGGCTCCGTCGACTTCATATTCGGCAACGCCCTCTCTCTCTACGAGGTACACACATTGCTTCTTTCTCTTGGTTGCATACACATTTCCTCCATGAACATTATAGCAGGGAATTGCATGCAACCCGGGTGATTAGGTTGAAGGTTTGTTGCTAACCAAGATAGATAATTTAATTAGCGCCTGAAATCGAGTCAAACAGGAAATCTATGCTCAATCCTGTGTGTCAGTGTCCAGTGCTACAGCCCAAATGCACAACAGATACACCGTGTCAGTAAACACTGGCCCGCAGCTTTCTGACAGGGCACTGGCCTACTGTGGCACCTACTACAATGCACCACACTGGAGTCACACAGAAGAAAGAATTCTACTATCGACCACTGTTAAAACTCACAGGGTTACAGTAGAGGCAAACCACTATTATCGGCCACATTAGCCCCCCGATCTTGTGACTGGCCCTACTACAGCTACACGAACCAGATGGTGCCAATGCGTTGTGCATGCCCGTGTGGCACTTCGTTTAATGCGAAATCCAACGCAAATGGAATGTTGATGAGCCCACTAGTAATAGCATAGTGAGTAATCAGCCTTTCGGTTTTTAAGAGGAGTGTGGTAAAACCTGCATCGCTTGTCGTTGGCGCCGGCACGGTTGCCGGATGGGGTTTTCTGGAGCCCGGCAGGTTCTCTGGTCCCCCTGGCCCCAGGCGCCGTGACCGCTACGGCCCGTGACGCCCATAGCTGGACGTCTCGTGCCGTGCGTATGGCCCCAAACCGTAGCGTATGTGTATAGCCACCAGTCTCCTCTGCAAATCCTGCTCACTTTGGTCGTACACTTTAAAATCTGGTACTAGTCCAACACTACTACCAGTAGTAACCGACTTTTTTTTTTGGTCAGAAATCAAAAATTGACCTTTGGGACGATAGGGTCGTCCAAGCTCCAAGGGAAACATATTATCTGCTGTACCGTGCTCTAACTTTAAGTGATTGATATGTGTACTATCCCACATCTAATATGTCCACATGTCAATGACCCATTCACCCATATCAAAGGATAGTTCTGTAGAGAATACTCATCCGTCGTGCAAGTGCGCAACGCACCTAGCATGGTTCGAATGCTAGACTTTGTAATAGTATTCACCGTATTTCAGACATTCAGTAATACTCCACACACCACACTAGTGGTTATTCTAACGTGTGTTACAGTGTGTGATCGTAAAGAATACTAGGGTTTACGCAAATATTTGATCAGAAATCCTTTGCCGTGTATTACTTTGGTCATGTATGTACTCAGTACTCACGTTGGTGACACGATTGCAGGGATGTCACGTGCACGCGATCGCGCGGAACTACGGAGCCCTGACGGCTCAGAACCGGATGAGCATCCTGGAGGACACGGGTTTCTCGTTCGTCAACTGCCGCGTGACGGGCTCCGGCGCCCTCTACCTCGGCCGCGCCTGGGGCACCTTCTCCCGCGTCGTCTTCGCCTACACCTACATGGACAACATCATCATCCCCCGCGGCTGGTACAACTGGGGCGATCCCACCCGCGAGATGTAAGTAGCTACCACTAGTACAGAATCGAACATCGTGAACGATCATATCACTACTATTATAATGATATGTGGGTCTCATCCTATCATACCCCACCCATCAATATTTGTGATGATAGCGTCATAATGGTAGAGGATGTGAACCCCATTCACCCCTCACATCCATCTCGTTCTTGTGTTTTTTCGCTAACGATGCTGGTGTTTTGTGTGTGGTTGGTGGCGGTGGCAGGACGGTGTTCTACGGGCAGTACAAGTGCACGGGGCCGGGTTCGAACTACGCCGGGAGGGTGGCGTGGTCGAGGGAGCTCACGGACCAGGAGGCCAAGCCGTTCATCTCCCTCAGCTTCATCGACGGGTTGGAGTGGGTCAAGTTGTAGCACCACGTAGGAGAGAAACACAGCTCACTCGACTATTAGTTAACTTGTGAAGAGAAAAGAATAGAACAGAAGAAGTGGCAGATAAACACTCTGATTTGATTCGATTGCAGATTTCAACTTTGCAGTTGCATTGTGAGACAGTCCTATACTGTGTCCGGCCTTCGCCTCGGTTTTGTTTTGGACTGCAAACAGTATAACATCAACTTAGGCCCACTGGCCCAGGCAGTAGAGAGGTAGCAATCGATGCGATCTCCCTGCTCAGCCTAGAAGCCCATAGAGAATTGAAGTGGGGAAATAGGCCCAGAAAAAGGTTAGAGTAGTGTAGCAGAAGTGAGCCCAACAATCACAGGTGTGTTGCTTCCATGTTCCAACACGTATAGCCTTTTCGAACATTATTCCTTTTTTTTCAAACATTATTCTAGACAGACATTTTAATGGATTTCTGCAAACTTTTAGTAGTAGTAGTATTATAGACCCAGTGGCCAATCTCTAATACCGATTTCATGGTTCTAACCCTGGCTAGAGATTGGGCCACGTGGCGCCCTGAAAATCAAGTTTGCCTCCCTGCGAATTTGCCACGTGTCTCCTTGGCTCTCCTCCCGCATTGTTTGATCGAGTATCGACGGCTAAAGGCTACAGCTCGCTGTGGTGGTCTGGTGGACCTCGTTAGAAAACTGGAATTTTTTTTCCATGAAAGTGCTCCATCCCTAATCCACCCATCTTCCTCCCGGACGCACGCACCGCCGTCCCCCCGCCGCCCACCGGATTCTCCACCACCTGCGCGCCGCGGCCAGCGCCGCAGTAGACCACCCGCTCGTGTCCTCCTTCAAGACGCTAGGCTCGTCTTCTTCAACGCCGCCCGGCCACCTTGCCCTCCCCTGCGTTCCCTGCCGCAATGCCGCTGCCTTTCCTCGAAGCCAGGGCCGCCGTCAATTCGCCGGCAAGAGTCACCCTCTAACAGGCGGTGGCCATCGCCGATACAAACTTCGGCTAGATCCGGTGAGCCCACGAGAGAAAGAAGGGAGGGGGCGCTAGCTAGCAGAGGAGGAGAGGAGGCGGCGTGCGCTGGTGAGAGGTGGCATCGCATCAGATCCTTCGCCACCTGCGCGTCGCGGCCAATGACGCCGTGATGAACCACCCGCTCGTGTCTTCCCTCAAGGTGCTGCGCCGACTCGTCTTCTCCCCCGCCGTCGTGCCCGCGCCGAGGTTGAGGGAACGTACGCAAGCGGCTGCTGTGCAGGCTCGATGTGGAGCGCGGCGCGAGGGCTGCGGCCAAGCGGCGGCAGCGATGTCGGCGATGGTCGTGCGGGCCTAATGTGGTGGCAGGGCAGGGCGGACGAGGACCGACGATCTGGGATCAACACGGCGGCAGCGGTGGCTGGGGCACTAGGCACTGGCCACGGCCATGTGAACCCAATGTGGCAGCAACTGCCGCGCCGCCGAAGGCCATGTAAATTTGTGCTCCGCAAAGGCTCCATGAGGTGTAGGCTCCACATATGTGAAAACGACGGCGGCTGGCTCTGCTGCAAGGTTTGTGCAATTCATTCTACAATTCATTCTACAATGCATATCTTGCAGCTAGGAATCATGATATTTCTTTTAAATAATTACCATTATGTCTCTCAAAAAAAAGTATGCAGTATTTATTGCCAATAACCTTGATTTGAAAAGGGTGAAAATAGTTTTTGTTACATATAGTTATGAGTTACATATTTAAACGCACTTTATTAAGTGAAAAAGGATTGCTCTGCACTGGACGCGTTTCAGATTAGAAGTTCAGATTTGCAAGATGCGGTTTATGGGCTTTCATTCCATTCTGTTCAAGGAACTTATTTTCATGGTTGCTGTCGGTCTGAATCCATAAAACTCTTCTATGAGATGTAGCTTACTTTTTTTTTTTGAGTCATGTCATTGTATCATGCTTGCTCTATTAAAATTTCCATCCTCATTAGCTAATAGAAAGCAGATCGTCCGATTTGAATCTGATTTCCATCGTCAAGAAAAGCGGTGATTCACAACCTATACTCATCTACTAGCTAGCTTAACTTATCAGAAAATTGGAAAGGACCTTTATCAAAAGCTGTGATCATTTCCTCAACAATGTATGTCTATATCTTAGATAATCTATATTCATGTCTTTGATAATCTACAATAAATCTAACTACTAAACTTAAGTAAAACAAAGTTATGGCTACCTATTATCTATACATATATATATTCCAATGCTTGTGATATACATACTATTACAATTTCATCCTCGATCTTTAAATTCTAACTTGATTAGGCACTATGTCATACTTTGGCAGAGTTGTAATATCACTGAACTGAAACTTTCATATGACAAAAATGGCCATTAATTTGTATAGATCAGCTGCTGCTGCAGTTACAGTGCATCTATATGTCATGGTGCTGTTTGGCTGGTGCTTTAATCAGTTTGTTACATGCTGAATAAAATGTCATGATCTTTGTACATGCTGTCAAAGTTGCAAATTTTAGCTACATGCTGCCAAAAAATTTCATGATCTGTGACTCTGTGTATGTGCTGCCATGATGAAATTCCTAAGCTGCTGGATTTCCAATTTCTTTGTTCCCCTACTCAATTTAGAAGAAGTAAGAGTTGTGGTCAAAGTGAAGGAGCGTTCTCAGAATAAATGTGCTCTACTCTTTTTTTTTTAATCAATTAGTTTCTCTGGTTTTGTTTTATTCAATTCCAATATTATGGCATGGCATTGATAGCTCAGGAACAACATCAATATTCGACTGAAACTAACTACAATATACTTGCTAAAGTGCATATCTGCAGCTAAAACAAGCAAAAAAGTTTTGGATCTTAACGAACAATCATGTAAATAGCTTATATAACTGCTAAATTTTATTCACATAATGCTAACTAAATTTAAGTTCCAAATGCCTTGCTATGTTTTCTTTTTCTTTCTTTCTTTTTTCTATTGCAGATTAGTGTAGCGGCTTCCTGACCAAAGGTGTAAAGCATCACTGCTATCAAAGTCATTTGACTGATATCTGATTGACGTCCTCAACGGTTGACACATACTCATCGGTCAAGTCCTCAACGTACATGGAGTTGAATAAGTTTGTTGCAATCCATTAGCAAACACCAAATGCAGAGTTAGTTTTTTGGTGGTACAAGATGGTTATGCACATGAGCAAGAGAGGCAGAGAGCAAGTGAAGGGGCGCAAGCAACGATGTATCACACAACTCACACTCACTGGTGCTTTGTCCAGCACCAAACCTCAGCACCAGATTTTTGTGCCAATAATCACATCAGCTTGGGAGATGTCTTCCTGATGCGGTGGGCAAAGGTATCGAGGGCCATGGAACCGGTTGATAGCCCGAGGAGCAAGAGGGATTTACAGGAGGTGGAGGACAGGGAACGCATCGCAGACTTGTTCTGTACATGTTTATTAGATCATTGTGACAGAGTGACATGTTGCACTATCAAGTACCAATAGTTGGTTGGGATTGGAATGATCAAAATGAGTTGTTCATGTTTTAGAAGGCTGTGTGTTTCTCCATTTTAGTTTAGATTTGAGAAGGTTCTAGGTTTTTCCTTTAACCTTTTCACTCTGTTTCTCGCCCAACATAACTCAGTTTTTCTCCTTTTCACTCTGTTTAATTTATCAATTTCTAAATAGTGCCACACGGTCCAATCTCCGGTAAAACTGTCAGCTTGAGAAAAGTGATGTGGAGGAACCATGAACTCAATGTCTTGCTGCATTGAACTAATATGAATAAAAGGGTAAAGTTTAAATAATTTCAGGTTTTAAATAGATACTCCCTCCGTTTCACAATGTAAGACTTTCTAGCATTGTCCACATACATATAGATGTTAATGAATCTAAACACATACATATGTCCAGATTCATTAACATCTAAATGAATGTAGGTAATGCTAGAAAGTCTTACTCCCTCCGTTTCACAGTGTAAGTCATTCTAGCATTTCTTACATTCATATTGATATTAATGAATATATATATCTAGATTCATTAACATAAATATGAATATGAAAAATGCTAGAATGACTTACATTGTGAAACGGAGGAAGTACGTTGTGAAATGGAGGAAGTAAAACATATTAGGTGTACTTATCAGAGCATTTCATTCATTTATTTCATAAAAGCTGGTCAATTACGCGGCACGGCATTTTCTAGTCATATAGTATACCACTAGGATTAGAAGTACTGCACTGTAGTACTTACTACGAGTTGTAGTAGGTATTCGACTCCTACTGTCCTACATTGAACTGAGCCACTGACAACATCAAGATTAGGCAGCGTATTTTTCAGGGGCTGATTGATGAAAACTAACGGATGATTTTCTTTATCATGGATTTGAATTAAACAGTAGTATTTTATATTATAAGTCTTAACTGATATAGTTTAAAACAGGTTATCTAAATAACGTAATAAGAAAGTTTTTTAAAAGAAAATGTCTTTTTTTTTGCGGGGAAAAGAAAATGTCTTTTTAGAAGCGTGAAATACATAATCTGTGCTGATAACGGGCCTTGACCTGTTACGGAGAGCCACCGAGGCGACAAAAACAATCTTCTACAGTACCGTAGACCGTATGCTTCTGCATCATAACTACTCCTACACAGAATCAGAGTTCGGACCAATACTAAACTGTCAAAACTCAGATCTACTGTTGATCTAGATCCACCAGCAGTAGCAGCAGCAGATAAAAACAAATCTCAAGTCCATCCGTTCCGACTCACACCGTCAGCAAAAACAAGATTGACAGCTGCAGGTCGTGTCCTCTTCAATGGAGTCCAAATCGATGTGTGCATTGTCGCACTGTCCTAGCTCCGCGGTCGAGAATAGCTGATGGAAATAAATTCCGCGCAGCGATCCTCCAAATGCTGCAAACGAGTGACATATTGTATCGAGTTCGAAAAAGTTTGAACAGAATTCAGTGGTTAGCTGCTGACATGTGCTTGGTTAATGAAAACAATATGGTCACTGCACATTTCAGACGGTCCAAGATGCTACTAGTAACGGTTAAGCAATTCCCTCATGCATCTCGGGAGACACGCACAAGTCCCTTTGTACTTTCAGGTGTGCCTTTTATCCTAAGAGACAGGATTATCTACATCTAAATCTGGTTCTAGAGTCACTACCAGAAATGACAGACAACATCAACAGCCAAACAGGAAAAACGCTGTGCACATGACTTGCACATCACTTTAGTGCTCGTTGGAACAGTGTTCTTATTAATGTATAGTACTGTATAGTATTCATCCCCGTCTTAGGTAAGCTGTTGTATCAGGATATTGTTAAATGGTCAGTAGCGCTCATTAACTCTGAAGAAATTCTGAAGACTGAAAAGGACGGGATCATCTCTAGAGGTGGCCAAACGGGCAGCCCGGGGCACGGCCGAACCTGTAGCAGGCACGGCCCGGCACGGCCTGCTACAGTAACGGGCCGTGCCGGCACGGCACGAGTAGCCGTGCCGTGCTTGGGCCGCTGGCCGAGCCCGCGGGCCGGCACGGCACGGCACGGCTACTGTAGCAGGCCGGCACGGCACGGCCCGCGGCACGGCACGGCCCGTTTCGCCGGCGGCCCGTCAGGCGCGGACAGGGCGGGCGGCGGTCGAATGGGAAGGCGCCACGTGGCACTAACGGCTACTTGACCGTTCAAATTTGAAAATAACCGTTGGGAGGCTAAAAAATTCATAAAAATTTCGAAAAAATTCCAAAAAATCTCAAATTTCGCCCTATAAATAGGGCATGAACCCCAGCCATTTCTCCTCATCCCACACTCCTCATCTTGTGCTCTCAAGTGTTTTAAGTGCTCTCTTTGTTCTCAAGTGTGCATTTTTTTTGATTTTGACAAAATTTGCTCAAATTTTGTCAAAAATCAAAATTAGTTTCGTAGTTCAACAGTTTGATCGCAGAGGTTTGAAGAGCTCGCGGTTGGAAAGATGTAAGTAATATTCAAATTTGTGTATTATTTGTATTGTGTTTGTGAATTCAATAAATATTCGAAAATTTGTTTATGTCGGTTTAAATTTTCAGAATGGATCCGAACTTTCCATACCAGTCGCCGTCGTTCACCTTGGGTGATTTCGACCCCAACTACATGTCGGGGTTTGACGGTACCTCCGGATCGGCTCCAACTCCACCATCTGTGGAGGAGGTACCTGTTCATACGGCTGTCGTTGAGGAGGTACCGGTTCAGGCGGCGACAGCTTCGGAAGGATTTTCCGGAACCGCGAGCGGAAGTGTTTCGACACACACCGGCTCGAAGAGATCGAGAACCTCCGTTGTGTGGCAAAACTTCGACGAGATAAAGGAAACATGCCCCGACGGAAGGGAGGTATCGAAAGCCCGTTGTAGAATATGTAGGCAAATTTTATCTGCTCGTTCTTCTGGTGGTACAGGTCACCTCAAGCGCCATGCGGAGTCGTGTGCCAAGAAGCAAGGAATACAACTCCGGCAGCAGCAACTTATGGTAAACCCAGACGGTACGGTACGCAGTTGGGAGTACGATCCCATGGTTGCTCGGGAATCTCTTGTCCGGTTAATCGCCAGGCAAGATTTACCCCTGAACTTTGGGGAGTCCCCTGCTTTTGAACATTACATTCAGCAATCTCATAACCCTAGGTTTAAAGCTGTGAGTAGGCAAACATCAACTAGAGATTTAGAGAATGTTTATCACAAGGAAGCAACTGCACTTAAGGAACTGTTTAGTACATGTACTTTCTCTGTTAGTGTTACTTCAGATATATGGAGTAGTGGAGCTAGAGAGGATTATCTTAGCGTAGTTGTTCATTTTGTTGATGATGATTGGCAATTACAAAAGAGAGTTTTAGGGCTTAGGTTAATAGATGTCTCACATACAGGAGAAAACATAGCTGAAAGAATTAGGGAAGTAATTAATGAATTTAATCTTGCTGATAAAATATTTGCTGTCACCCTAGATAATGCATCTGCTAATTCTAGGGCTATTGAAATATTGCAACCTTTATTTTGTGTGTATGCTCAATCTTTTCTACTCCATCAGCGTTGTGCATGTCATATAATTAATTTGATTGTTAAGACTGGCATGAAGAGGGTAGGTGACCACATCGATGCTGTTCGTCAAGCAATCGCGTGGTTAACTGCTTCTAACCCGCGGATTGCTGAATGAAAGAGGTTTTGCAATGCGGCCGGTGTGAAAGCTCGTAAGTTTGCCACCGATGCAGAGCATCGGTGGAATGCAACGTATTTAATGTTAAAAGTTGTTTTACCTTATAGTAGTTTACTTTCTGATTTTGTTCAGTCACGTGGTGGCCCAAGAAACAGTGACGGGTCTTCAGTACTGAACGAGCATGTTTGGGCAATTGTCCAAAAATTTCACCAATTTCTAGAAACTTTTTATGATTGTACTCTAACTTTGTCACAAGTTTATTATCCAACTGCTAATATAATTTTGCACAACCTTCTTGAAATTGCTACATTATTTAAAGAATACGAAAATGATGACGTTCTAACTGAACCTGTCTTTCACATGAAACAAAAATATTTGAAATATTGGAAAAATATACCTATGTTGTATGCTTTTGCTTTTGTTTTAGATCCTAGGTGTAAATTAAGGGGATTGTCTGCTATTTTATCACTTGTTGGAGATACTATAGGTGTAGATTATAGTTCTTTTTATACTGAGGTTAGACGTAAATTATATGAGGTTTTTAGAAGATATGAAGTAAAGTTTCAGGAAGTTCGCCAGCAGAGACCCCCTCCTATCCCCACTACAGGTAAGAAGAAGATACAGTGGGGTAGGATTTGGGGTGGATCGTCTTCAAGTTCAATCCAAGGTGGTGGCAGTTCGTCGGCTACAAGTGGAGACGCCTCTTCGCATGTTGTGGCCGAAGAGTTGTCCGGTTATTTGGACAGCGACGCCATCCACCACGAAGCACAAGATTTCAACGTCCTCGGGTGGTGGAATGACCACAAGATAACATATCCTGTGCTTTCAAAACTAGCACGGGATGTGTTGACGGTGCCCGTGTCGACGGTGTCCTCCGAATCGGCCTTCAGTCTATGCGGCCGAATCATCGAAGACCGGAGGACGACTCTGCGCAGCGACCACGTCGAAATGCTACTAAGCGTTAAAGACTGGGAGCTTGCTCGACAACATGCCCAATACACTGCGGACAACCAAGAATTGGCCGCCCAGTTCGAGCAACTCTACCTGGATCCAGACCAACCCCAGTAGAATTTTGTTAGAAGTAGTTCTGACCTTTGAGCTGTACTCTTTTCTTTGTCATGGTTTTCTCATTTTCCCCTATGAGTTTTTACATGACAAAGTTTTTAACGAGGCAGCATGTATCATTGTATCCTGTAATGATATAAACATCAATAAAGGTCATTACTATTTTTAACAAATTCTTTTGCAATATTTTCGCAAGTGTGGATTTATCTTTAAATTATTTCAAAATAATGAATCACAATCTATATTTTTAAATTTTTCAACACAACAAAAAAATACCATTTTTTCTTTTTTTTTAACATTAGCAAATCATTACTTTTTTAAAAAACTTTTATTTCCATTTTTTAAATACCATTTTTTCATTTTTTAACATTAGTAAATCATTACTTTTTTTTAAACATTTTATTTCTATTTTTATTTTTTTTCCTTATACATTTCCTTTGCTTTTTTTTAAAAAAAAACACTGTGCACTGCAGGCTGGCGGCCTGCCTTCACGGGCCGCCGTGCCCCGAACGGCCCGTGGGCCGCAGGCGTGCCGTGCCGGCACGGGCACGGCCCGGCCATCCACGGGCCGTGCTTGGGCCGGCGGCTCGGCACGTGGGCCGGCACGGCACGGCCCGTTTCATCAGCCGTGCCTAACGGGCCGTGCCGAAACGGGCCGTGCCGGACCCGTGCCCGTGCCGGGCCGGGCCGTGCCGCCCGTTTGGACACCTATAATCATCTCGGCGTCCAAATACGCTCAGGCAATGAATTTGGCCACTCTTTTTCCGAGCCAAACCAGCTCTGGACGTGTTATCAGACAACCACCGTTTGCAACCATGTAGGGAGGGTACTATTTTAGCGTCCTTTTGCCTGATGCTTCACATCAAATGCACGTCAACATTTAAGCCATCCATAAAGCAATGCAGTTGTGGTACACTGCAACAAACAACCACAATTTTGTCTTCAGTGCAAAGGATCTGCCAGTGCCAAGAAGGCAGGAACTCGTCCGTGTACTCTTTACTTCTTCCTTCCCTTAACTTCCATGCCATTTCAGCTATCAACCTATACAGGTCGGTATCAGATACCGCATCAGCATTTAAGGGGGAGGGATTTAGGACTGTTTAGATTGTAGCCAAAATAAACCTTATTAAATTTTGTTATTGCCAAAATTTTAGCAGGATTTCTTATATATTTACTAAAGTTTGGCAGTAAATTAAATGTAGTCACTTTTTGACAACTTTACCAAAATTTGATAAGGTTGAAAATGGCATCAAGGTGAACAGGCCTTTGTTTTTTTGTGAGGTTTAGTCCCTCTCACCAAACCACCCCGTAAGGCCTGAGTTTAGTTACCAATTTTTTCTTCAAGCTTCCAACTTTTCCATCACATCAAAACTTTCCTACACACACAAACTTCCAACTTTTCCATCACATCGTTCCAATTTCAATTAAACTTCCAATTTTGACGTGAATTAAACACACCATAAGCCACACTGTCAGAAAAACAAAGGAATGGCATTTCGGAACTGTATGTACTTTTGTTTCTTCCTCCTCTTTTTCCCTTCCTTTGGCAGGGATTCACCCGTCCAATTTCTCATAGGTAAGTGCAGTAATTTAGACCGTTTTGGTAATTGAGAAACCCAAATTAAATTTACAATTTTATACCATGAAGACAAACTTTACTCTATGACACTTAAAAGTTTATATAATTAACTAGTGGACATTGTAAAAACATATCATGGCTAGAGAATACCCTAAAAACGTGTTATGTTTATGGAAAGATATTTTCGATCCAATTAAAAGAGAAACTCTTAAAAGAAAAACAAGAATGTCCTATGGCTACAAGTTTCTAACCTAACATACGAGTGAAGACGGATTATGATATATACTAACAATGTACACCTTAGAGTGATGGCATTTTAAGAGTTGCATAATTTCAAAGCTTTCACTCAAGCGCTAGGTTAGAATTTTGTGGCCCCAAATAGGTAAAAATGTCGTTCGATAAATTACCAATTATTTATTATCCTTCAATTATAGCACATTTATAGGATATTTATCAGTAAATTACATAAGATTTAGTTGTCGTGGAATAAAATTTGTCAATAAGAAGAGAGAGAATGTGGTTAGAGCTGTAGCGGTAGAACAGATTTTATTCCCTGCTCTTTTGCCATACTCGAGCTACATATTCTGGTGGTACTTTGCGAAGATTTACCATCTTAGTCCTAACACTAATATGTACCGAAAGTTAATTAAAACACACTCCTGGATTAGCATTCGGGCTCCGGTTGTGAGTAATCACCAGAGCTGATCGAGGTAATAATCTCTAGTGACGTCGTCGCTGAACTCCGAGTCCTCGTGGCGGCTCATCTCCGAGCTCTTCAAGCTGATGGCGCTGTCCGGCCGCGACTTCCTCGACCCGGCGCGGGCCAGGCTAGGCCTCGGCTCGCCGGCGGCGCCGTGCCGCTGCCTCGGCGCGCTCTGGCACCGCGCACGCGCCACGGACGACGCCGTGTCCGCCATGTACCGCGGGCTCACGACGCGCCCCTTCGCCGGCGACGCCGGGCCGTGGTACCCCGCCGGGAGCGCGGCGGCGAGCCGGGGCGTGTTGTGCGTCGTCTTCGGCTGCGCCCGCGCATCGTGCTCGTGCTCCTCGGCCTGGAGGTGGCGCGACGGCGGCGGCTTGTAGCAGTAGAGGTGCGGCGAGGACAGCGGCACCGACCCCGGCGTGCCGTCCGGCGGCGGGTCGGCGGCGTAGCGGCTCGTGATCCGGGAAGACCGGCACCGGAGCTGGCACGTGTCCATCTCCACGATCCTCGGGCTGCGGTCGAAGTTGATGTCGCCGCCGTCGGACACCCGACGGCGGTGCACCACCGGCAACGTCAATGTCTTTACCCGCCCTCCTTGCATTTGCACGACAATCCTCTCCTACGTACAAAAGATGCTCAAAAATTTAACTTCATCTGATAAAATCAAGGTGATCCGAGGAGGCATCACAGTGAAAAATCTCACCTGTTCGACGGATTTCCGCGATGAGGCCATCTTGATGGCGCGAGAGGAGGCTTGGAGCCTCATGAGCGCTTGCAGCCTCTGCAGAGTCGTCGCTGCTTGCTTCCTCACAAGGTAGCCACGTACCAGAGCTTGTATCTTGACAAGCGCCTTGAGAGCGCGCAATGCCCTCCTAGCCTGCATTTGCGGTGGAAAATTCAAATTTTTACAGTTGCTTCGAAAAGCAAATCAACAGAAACAATATGGAAGTTTTTGAACTATATGCCATGACGACTAGGCTTGTGTCCCCACTGTGCAGTTACCTAAGCGTTTGCAGCAAATCATCACTAAACAAAAATATCCTAAAATGTGGAATTTATCTATAGTAGGAAGCAGATTAAACAATGTGCATTGTGCAATGGCTAGCTACTCAACGGCAAGAAACTATCAAACAACTGCTGCCATTAACAACAGTTAGTAAAGTGAAGTCAAATCTCCTGTCCAATATAAAACCAGGAGAATCCATACCACCTACTCCCTCCGTCCCATTTTGAGTTTTTGCTTGTAACGTTTGACCACTCGTCTTATTCAAAATTGTTTGAAATTATTAATTATTTTATTTGTGACTTACTTTATTATCTATAGTACTTTAAGCACAACTTTTTATTTTTTATATTTGCAAAAAAAATTTGAATAAGACGAGTGGTCAAACGTTACAAGCAAAAACTGAAAATCCCTTATATTGTGGGACGGAGGGAGTATTTTCAAAAAGAAGAATCTACTAAAATCCCGTGAACCTATCCTTGCATTGATTGCTAACTGAATCGTGGAAAACCAAATAAAATGTCATTTACGAATACTAGGCTAATGTTCAAAGTTCAAACACATGCAGCAGCTGCAGAACAAAACTCAACATTTTCAGGGGAAAAACAAGACACCAAAACAGTACTTGGGAGACGTACCAGGTATCCTCTGAAGGCCTTCTGGATCATGACGGCCGCCTCCACCTCCCGTTGCTGGCCGCAGCTGCATGGCCGGACCTGCGAGAGCTCGCCGGCGACGACGGCGGTGACCGAGGGCCTGCGGCTGCCGTCAGCGAAACTGCTCCTCGGCTTAGCGAAGCTCCACCTCCTCCTCTCCATCGGCGGCGGCGCGACGCCACCATTGGCGCCTCCGGCGGCGCTGTGCTCCTTCCGATCCCTGTCTCCTCCTTCCTTCTTGCCGGTGAGAACCTTCTTGAACCACCTCATCGCGCGGCCCATGGTGAATCAACCTATCTGCAGCACGACGAATGCCACGAACAGAGGCGTCAAAAAAAATGTGTAGAGAGCGTGGATAAAAGGATTCAAGAACAGCAGCTAGAACTATTACTCCAGTGCTGAAACAATGGAACTAATAGGAGACGCAAAGATCAACTCGGGAGTTGTTGAAAGTTGAAAAACTGTAGGCGAACAGGGGAAAGAAGGCTATAGTATACCGCTATAGCTCAATAAAACAGAGACGCCACGATTTGAAATGAGATACTCCAGAGTCCAGATAGCAGAGTGGACAAGAAAAAAGCATGGAAGCAAGAAAGCTTGGGTGAAAAAAGGGTCTTTTTTCGATGGTGAAGCAGGGAAGAAACCTTTTTACAGAGAGGGGCTGCTGCCGAGAAACATGGGACCGAACAGAGATGGAAACCGAACTGAAAAGGCCTCAAGAAGCTTAGCTGAAAAAGGAGAAGGCAAAGACGTGTAATGTAGCGCCAAAAACAGCCGAGTTGGTGGGGGAGATCACAGTGCTCCCCTCCAGCTCACGAAACGTGACTCCCTGATGCGGAAAAGGACCTTTTCATCAGTGAAACCCAGTACCCACCAGCCCAGCCAGCCCAGCCGGTTGAACTCTCCCAGGCGAAGCAGCGAGCCAGCCGGCGATTCAGAGCGGAAGCAGCCGGCGACGAAGTGTGAGATAGCGAGCTATCGAGCCAGCCCAGCCACCGCAACCGCAGCGACGCTCGCAGGGGAAAAGAAAAGATTCCCCCTGCTTGCCCCCTCTCGCCTAAGAGTCCGAGCACAAGGCAACAAAAAGGCTAAGCGAGAGGCAAGACCAACCGAAGCAAAAAAAGACCCAAACCCCGGAGGGTTCACCACCACGCACCGCACGAGACAGCAAAAGAAAAAAAGAAAAACCGAGATGGCAACAAGATCCAAACGGCGTCGCTCGCGCAGATGCAATCATTCGCACGGACGCACCTCGCCTCCGCGCCGCGCGCGCGCGGGGGCCGAGAGCCCGAGATAGCCGCGCAACAACAAGTCACAAGTTGGGGGGGGGGGGGGGGGGGGGGCTCGCGTCTCTCGCCTCCCACTCCGCGGCACGGCTTTTGGAGCCCGAGTCTGGCCGAGAACTCACGCCAAGATCCGATCCGGCAACCGGCTAAAAACAAACGTAGTACGAGCAGTGACGCACGCCCACCCCACCCGCGATGGTAGCAGCTCGGCTAACCCCTTCCACACTCCACACCAGCGCAACGACGGAAGTGTGTGACGCGGATGGATGTGGTAGTACGCTGTAGCATGTACTCCCTCCCTCCGTTCTTAAAAAAAAGACAAACCATGTTTTCGTGTCCAACGTAAATTAAAAAGACAAGTCACGTATAAAATATTAATCATATTTTATCATCTAACAACAATAAAAATATAAATTATAAAAAAATTTCATATAAGAGAGACAGTTAAAATTGGCAAAAAAAACCCAGAGTTTGTCTCTTTTTTTTTTATGGAGGGAGCACGAGCGCTCACTGATCCGGTCAAATAAATGTTTGTGCCTTTGTTTATCGCCTTGTGTAGGGATACGGATTCTAGGCCTCTGGACCACAGTGGGAACGTCCGAACGTGAATTGGTTAAGGCTGTGTTTAGTTCACGCTAAAATTGAAAGTTTAGTCGAAATTGTAACGATGTAATAAAAAATTTAAAAATTTATGTGTGCAGGAAAGTTTTGATGTGATAAAAAAGTTAAAAGTTCAAAGAAAAATTTTAGATCTAAACACGGCCTAACCATCGTTGGCATGGAAGTTGAACCGCTCGTATACTGTATACTTCGACTCTGTAATGTGTATAGTGTTATAACTCACGGCAACAAGCTTGAGAAAATGGAACACCAAATGTAAAGATGGCAGAAAATGGAACACCAAATGTAAAGATGGCTTAATTAACGGGTTGTGCATCTGTAACTCCAGAGGTGCTAAGCGTTAATTATCAACCATGACGGGAATGCACATGCCTTGCCTTGCGTTGTGGTCCATATTCCCCCGGTTCAGTAGTAGAAGATCACAAATTTATTTACTGTTCAAAATACACAGCCGATGGCCCCCGCTGGAGACGCACGCGTGACGCAAGCGGCGTGCACGCAAGAAATTTTATGGGAGGAGAGTGGTACGGATGCTGAAGGGAAAAATTTCTCATACGAATTGGCACGCTTCTCGAGGCTGCCGCTCTGCGTGACGCCATCCTCCCGTCGTGGAACACGGTTTCGACAGGGCATGGCCGTCCTTTCGACAGTGCAGAGCATGTACTCCTCCGTAGTAGCAGATCCGTCGAAAACGAAAACGGAAAAAAAAAAAGAATGAGTATCTGTTGCACTGACCCGTGGGTCCCACTCCATCGTATATGCTTCTAATCGGCGTAGCTACAGAGGTGGCAAAGGAGTAGTAGGGTACCAAGATACTGGTATACTATGGCTGTGTTGAGATCCAAAGTTTGGATCCAAAGTTTGGATCCAAACTTCAGTCCTTTTTCATCACATCAACCTGTCATACACACATAACTTTTCAGTCACATCATCTTCAATTTCAACCAAAATCCAAACTTTGCGTGAACTAAACACAGCCTACTAGTATCCCAAATGGGTTTATATCATGTACTATAATGACACTGTTATTATAGACACCAACATGTGAGGCAATAGGAGAGTAGAAGTGTGGGACCCACACACCTACGCTAGTGACATTATGGTAGAGGATACTCATATACCCCAAACACTACCAAGACACCAACACGAAGAGAGTACGAACGCTAGTAGGGCGTTCCCAGCGCGCCTTCATGGTGTTCGAACTGAATAATCAACACCATGTTCTCCACACAGGAAAACCCGTGAAGATCGATCGTGTAGTCAAAACTGATCGCCCGTTCTTTAGCTTGAAAAACCTGTAAAAAGCACATGCACAAATGACTGGGAAGAGGAGAGAGAGAGAGATAGAGTGTGTGTGTGTGTATGAAAGCTGTGGAAGGAATCGACAGCGGTTGAAGCCACCTTGACGAGTGAAGTCAACGGGGAAATGGAGGGGCTCGCCGGCCCGATATGCTGCGCCGCTGGACATGATGACTCAAAGAGCAGCCATATCCACTTGTCCACCGGACCACGCTACACCGACCTCATTGCAGAGATGGCATGGAAGTGTGGAAGGGAGGAAGATGAGGACGGATCCGTCATCGACCGCTTCAATCTACCACAGAGATGTTGAGCGTCGCGGCGAACAGCGAAGGAGAAGAGAAGGGTATGATGATGGCTGTTGCAAGCTCAATTATTTGTCACTCAGTCAATCCACAACCTGCTCTCGGTTCATCGCTATTGGGGGAGTGCCGGGGGGCTGCCTCCTCCGCCACCAGGGATCGTGCCTATCGCGGCCACCCGCTCGTCACCACCTCAGGGAGCTTGTCGCCCGTATGGATCGAGGCATCGCTGGGAGAGGGTAGAGGTTGTGGCGCCTGGGAGATAGAGGGGAGAGGCAGCACCGCCAAGGAGCACATCGCTGGTGATGGGTTGATGGAAGGTGTAGGGATGCCGACGAAGTGATGAGGAGAGGCGTAGGGAAAGGGAGAGGTGGAAAATTTTATATTTGTTTTTGAATTTTAGGCTGTTGAGTGTAAAAATTGGACCACTTCATAATTTGAAAACATGTGATGACTGAGCCACTTGCACTATAAGACAAATAGATTTAGGTTTAATTGGATCCATGCCATATAAATATGCTGATTTAGATAAATACCACTATAATTCGTCTATTATATTTATAACCGTGATATTAAAATGTTACAAAATTTGGGCCATGCCACTACTGTCATGTTTTCCATCCATCTCAGTCTTCATCCTCATATACACATAGGACCCATCTGTCAAATTCATCAACTTCATTTTTCCTCTTATCTTCTTCTTTTTTTTCCTCTCAGCTCCTCATCGTCGTCTGAGAGAAAGTACGAGAAGTTTCCGCTGGCGCTCATCTGCTCCTCGGATACCCCATACGCGTGCCACATGCTGGTCCGTTCGCCACGGCATGCCACGTCGTTGTCGCCGTTACGGTATCAGCTCACCGAGTCAGCCGCGGAAAAGCCCAGATCCAAAAATGAGGTCTTGCTCCCGTTGCGCCTCGCGGTCCCGACGCGGTGCCACCCATGCTACTGGTGTAGGCGTGGGCTCCCTCGTTGTCGGCGCCACTGCTTTCGCTTTGTGGATAGGCGTGCTCAGGTGAGGGGGCTCTCTCCAGGTTAATGCAGCGATGTGTGTGCATTGCGTGTGGATTTGTTCATACTGACGATGTTGTTGTGATAGATGTGCAGGGGATGCGCCTCGTTGCCTCTGAAGCCTCAACCGCGGTTGGGTGTGGGTGCGGGGGGTGGGGGCTATGTCTACAACAACGAGAGAAGATGAGAAAAAAAAGAAGAAGAGAGGAGGATGGAAGAAGAAGAATCCTATGAGTGTCCCACATACTATAGATGAGGAAGAACACGGAGATGGATGGAAAAATGTGGCGACAGCGGCATGGTTCTAATTTTGTAAAATTTCAATAGCACGGTTACGAATTGGAGATTATAGTGATGACATTTATCTGAATCGGTTTATTTACAATGGCATGGATCTAATTAACCCATACATTTGAGACTTGTAGCTTAATATTATGTGGTACTTGAAGCCTCCTCAAAAGTATGCATTGCACTGCTAGTGGCCGTAGTAGTATACAGTAGTATAGCGCTAGTCATTCCCTAGATGCCAACTTTTGTCGCTGGTGGTTGGACGGCACTCCGTGGCAACCGCGTACTCTCGTACAAGTGCTGGCGCCGTGTCGATCGGTTTTTCGAATCCACGCTTGCCTGCACGGAGATCCTCTCGCCGAGAGCAATTATGTGGTCACCGTGTAGCTAGCGATCGAGTACTTTGCTGGCGCCGTGGTACGTAAACAAATTTACTCCTCATGCAGTGGTACACGCTCCGTTCTCGCCAGAACGAAATCTAGTCCTGCACGAACCGCACGCTTTTGGTGTGTAATGGCCGGAGGCAGCAGCAGCAGCAACGTAGTAGTCCACACTCGCGAGCAGAGTGTAATCAAGGCTAAAGGTTAAGCTACGGCCATAATGGCGGCGAAGGCGGACCAAACGGCAGCGTCGCCGAGCCTGTGAGGAATCCCGGCTCGCTGACACTGGCAGGGAGGGATCAACTGGACCCCCCCTTGGTCCCCTTGCAATGCTGCAACTGCGAGCCCTGTGCAACGAGGTAGCTAGCCATTTCCGTCGCAGTTCTAGACCTGTGGCCCGCTACGCGTGGCATTCGAGTTTTTAACCGAGAGGGGGACCCCCACCACCCCCCTGCCCCAAGTGCAGTCCGCGAGCCCCGTGCCGAGGCTTTGGGCCGACTCGCCGCGTGCGCGCGTGTGTGGGCCTCGACGGACGGTGCTGCGCGCTGCGTCCTCCACCGGGTCCAGGCGCATTGAAGAGGTTTTACGGATCGGTGCAAAGCGTCGGGCTGTAAATGTGTGTTGGATCGCTGTGGTCGGCGAGACGATTGATGCATTGATAGTTCGATCGATACGCTCGCTGTG